AGCTTCGGACATCTTTCTGATTCACTACGGCAAGGTATTCTTTGGCCGGGGGACACAACGCCTACGAATGCCTAGAATATCTGTAATCTACAAAAAATATCAAAAAAATGACACCAAAGGCAGTTTCTCGTGCAGAAATGCAGCAGAATCTAGAAGAGTTTGTAACCTTGATCTCTTGCCACAGCTCTCTACTGCCTTCTGAAGCCAACACAGAGGGCTTTTAGGGAGTAGCAGCTAGACTTTACATGGTTGCAGCACTTCTCTGCAATGCGCTTCTGCGGGCATCTGCAGAACATGGACTTTCATGCACGACCCTGTGTGTGATGTGGCAGTCTCTTGTAGGCTCTGCCCGAAGTCCAGCGTGACTTGCCAAAGTTTGCTGGCGTCGAAAAACGCTCGGATAACGCGCCTTCATTGGTCTTGCCTGCTTTCAAGGAAATAAATAGAAGCGCAGTCTACACTTTTCGCTGCATCTCTAAAAGCTCTACTGCCAATGACTCCTTGAAGAACTAATATGCCTATCTATCCGTCATCTTGGGGTTGGAGACACAAAACCATTATAGGAATGTTCAAGCAAGGCTATTACCCAACTTTTTCCATTGCCCCTCTTTTTCTGGCACCAAGCGAGAGATTGGAGGCCTTGACAGCCTTTAGCAATTTCATCTGGCGTCTCTCTACCCACATGGGTGTTGTCAATGCATGTCAATGCATGTCAATGCACATAATGCACATAGATGTGTTGCTCGTTTCAGAGCAATCTTCTTGGCAACTGGTGTCTTGTCACACAGGCTGCACCATTTGCAGCGCTTCAATCGCAGGTGCCCATCATCGTGATTCTGGGATATCTATACATCATGTCTCTGTCTGTCGGCCGACCCTCTGCCCTCTAGGAAGAAGAAAAAGTCTACCATTGCCCGCACTTGCCTCTCAAGGACCATCAACTCGGCGAAGTGGACAAACTCTTCAACACTTCAACGCATACTAACGGGATCAAGCAACCCTGACTGGAAGCTAGAATCTGCATGAAAAGTGCAAGACTGCGAGGCCACACCTGAATACCCACTTAACCAATCAACAAGGCATAGCTTCGGACATCTTTCTGATTCACTACGGCAAGGTATTCTTTGGCGGGGGACACAACGCCTACGAATGCCTAGAATATCTGTAACCTACAAAAAAATGACACCTAAGGCAGCTTCTCGTGCAGAAGTGCAGCAGAATCTGGAAGGGTTTGTAACCTTGATCTCTTGCCACAGCTCTCTACTGCCTTCTGAAGCCAACACAGAGGGCTTTTAGGGAGTAGCAGCTAGACATTACATGGTTGCAGCACTTCTCTGCAACGCGCCTCTGCGGGCATCTGCAGAACATGGACTTTCATGCACGACCCTGTGTGTGATGTGGCAGTCTCTTGTAGGCTCTGCCCAAAGTTTAGCGTGACTTGCCAAAGTTTGCTGGCGTCGAAAAACGCTCGGATAACGCGCCTTCGGTGGTCTTGCCTGCTTTCAAGGAAATAGAAGCGCAGTCTACACATTTCGCTGCATCTCTAAAAGCTCTACTGCCAATGACTCCTTGAAGAACTAATAGGCCTGTCTATCCGCCATCTTGGGAGGGGAGACAAAACCAGCATAGGAAATCTCAAGCAAGGCGATTATCCAATTGTTTGCCTTGTGCGTCTCTTTTTGGCACCAGCCTTTAGCAATTTCATCTGACGTCTCTCTACCCAGATGGGTGTATGTCAATGCATGTCAATGCACATAATGCACATAATGCACATAGCTGTGTTGTTCGCTTCAGAGAAATCTTCTTGGCAACTGGTGTCTTGTCACACAGGCTGCACCATTTGCATCGCTTCAATCGCAGGTGCCCATCATCGTGATTCTGGGATATCTATACACTTCGAACATGTCTCTGTCTGTCGGCCGACCCTCTGCCCTCTAGGAAGAAGAAAAAGTCTACCATTGCCTGCACTTGCCTCTCAAGGACCATCAACTCGGCTAAGTGGACAAACTCTTCAACACTTCAACGCATACTAACGGGATCAAGCAACCCTGACTGGAAGCTGGAATCTGCATGAAAAGTGCAAGACTGCGAGACCACACCTGAATACCCACTTAACCAATCAACAAGGCATAGCTTCGGACATCTTTCTGATTCACTACGGCAAGGTATTCTTTGGCGGGGGACACAACGCCTACGAATGCCTAGAATATCTGTAACCTACAAAAAAATGACACCTAAGGCAGCTTCTCGTGCAGAAGTGCAGCAGAATCTGGAAGGGTTTGTAACCTTGATCTCTTGCCACAGCTCTCTATTGCCTTCTGAAGCCAGCACAGAGGGCTTTTAGGAAGCACCAGCTAGACATTACATGGTTGCAGCACTTCTCTGCAATTCGCTTCTGCGGGCATCTGCAGAACATTGCCTTTCATGCACGAACGTGCGTGTGATGTGGTAGTCGCGTGTTTTTACCTGTAGGCTTTGCCCTAAGTCGTCCAGCGTGACCTGCCAAAGTTTGCTGGCGTCGAAAAACGCTCGGATAACGCGCCTTCGGTGGTCTTGCCTTCTTTCAAGGAAATAGAAGCGCAGTCTACACTTTTCGCTGCATCTCTAAAAGCTCTACTGCCAATGACTCCTTAAGAACTAACCTATCTATCCGCCATCTTGGGAGGAGACACAAAACCAGCATAGGAATTTTCAAGCAAGGCTATTATCCAACTTTTTGCATTGCCCCTCTTTTTCTGGCACCAAGCGAGAGATTGGAGGCCTTGACAGCCTTTAGCAATTTCATCTGACGTCTCTCTACCCAGATGGGTGTTGTCAATGCATGTCAATGCATGTCAATGCACATAGATATGTTGTTCGTTTCAGAGCAATCTTCTTGGCAACTGGTGTCTTGTCACACAGGCTGCACCATTTGCAGCGCTTCAATCGCAGGTCATCGTGATTCTGGGATATCTATACACTTCGAACATGTCTCTTTCTGTCGGCCGACCCTCTGCCCTCTAGGAAGAAGCAAAAGTCTACCATTGCCTGCACTTGCCTCTCAAGGACCATCAACTCGGCGAAGTGGACAAACGCTTCAACACTTCAACACATACTAATGGATCTAGCAACCCTGACTGGAAGCTAGAATCTGCATGAAACGTGCAAGACTGCGAGGCCACACCTGAATACCCATTTAACCAATCAACAAGGTATAGCTTCGGACATCTTTCTGATTCACTACGGCAAGGTATTCTTTGGCCGGGGGACACAACGCCTACGAATGCCTAGAATATCTGTAATCTACAAAAAAATGACACCAAAGGCAGTTTCTCGTGCAGAAATGCAGCAGATGGAAGAGTTTGTAACCTTGATCTCTTGCCACAGCTCTCTATTGCCTTAGGAAGCACCAGCTAGACTCTAGACATTACATGGTTGCAGCACTTCTCTGCAATGCGCTTCTGCGGGCCTCTGCAGAACACGGCCTTTCATGCACGACCCTGTGTGTGTGTGTGATGTGGCAGTCGCTTGTAGGCTCTGCCCGAAGTCCAGCGTGACTTGCCAAAGTTTGCTGGCATCGAAAAACGCTCGGATAACGCGCCTTCATTGGCCTTGCCTTTCAAGGAAATAAATAGAAGTGCAGTCTACAGTTTTTGCTGCATCTGTGGAAGCTCTACTGCCAATGACTGCTTGGAGGACTTTTATGCTTATCTATCCGTCATCTTGGGGTTGGAGACACAAAACCAGCATAGGAATGTTCAAGCAAGGCTATTATCCAACTTTTTGCATTGCCCCTCTTTTTCTGGCACCAGGCGAGAGATTGGAGGCCTTGACAGCCTTTAGCAAGCTTGCCTTCCGTCTACCCAGATGGGAATATGTCACTGCACACTTGCAGCATGCACATAGATGTGTTGCTTGCTTCAGAGCAGTCTTCATGGCAAGTGGTGTCTCGTCTCATAGCCCTCGTCTGTTTCACTATTGATGGAATTGAAGGCTGCACCATTTGCAACGCTTCAGTCGCAGGTACCTATCATCATGATGATTCTGGGATATCTGCGGAACAGTTCCAACATGTTTGTCGGCCGATGCTCTGAGATCTAGGAAAGGGCAGACTCTTCCGGGTCCGTCGAGACACGTCCGTTGGATGGAAGTAGAATTGCTTACATATGCTTACAATAGGATGCGTCCGGAACAAACGGCATACCTGGATCTTCTCTCAGACATTACTTTCTGCCTTTTCAACATTATATGCCCATTCTTGTGCTGCCTGACACATCAGCCATGTGTATGGCTGTTTGGCCGGTTTAGCTGCAATCTTTGCTCTACTACTCTGACGTCAGCATCAATGTACCTTAGATGGCCGCATCTGGGGCTTCCTGTGCTTCCCCGGTCCTACCACATCCAAAGCTTGACTTCCTGGAAAAACGACATCGAAAAATGATTGATATTGATGGATGTTCCACTTGCCACAAATGTTCCAAACCTTACCCCCCGCATAGGGTTCGGATTTTCAAACCCTAAACAAGAGCAAAGCAGTAAGCGCATCAGTTTCACCAGCTGATCCTTGCATCACGTGTCTGCCGATGCTAAGGAGGAGACTTTCGCAGGTCAAGTTATGGTCTGATGCAATGCTCCGTGTAGGACGAACCTGTTCTGGCTGAGGTGTTAATTTTCCCTAACCGGTGGGTTCACACTGACGGGTATTTGCGGTAGGGGCTAAGGACGGGTAATTTGGTTGAAGATTCGGATCGTGGCGTCGTGGACTGCGCATGCTCGCACACAAGTTCCCTCTGAAATCTTGCACACAGGTGGTTAACCGCACTTTGCTCTCATCAGAAGGTATCTTTTTTACCAGCGCACCATTCAAAGACCATGCCAGTTTTTTGGCGGTATGAGGAGCTGTGTATGTTTGGCGTGGCAAGCGCAAGATATGTTGGCACTTTTGGAGGGGTCGAACTTTGTTTTCTGAGGCAAAAGCAAGCTAGACGACTTCCATCACCTCATCCGGACGGCGGGCACATTCACGCGGCTGCATCGATGGCGAGGTGCCCGTTCACCTGCGCGATTGATCCCGCACTTTCTGCATGGATCACTGTAGCGCCGCGGAATCTTTGTCCGGAGATCCTGGTAGTTGGACTTCCCATACCTGCCTGCGTGGTTTTTTTAATTCTTTCACAAAATATTAGGTGGGTGGTGGGGGTGGGGTTTAGTAAAGTTGATCTCCACTTGCGCAAATACTTGCGGTTACATCAGATGTTTCTTGTTCGCATTGGCACGCACACTTGCCATTAAACTCCTTGCTTGCACATGCACATGTACTTGCTACTGCTCTAAAGACTTCTTGATTGAATCCGCCTGTCTGCCGGCGTTTTTTATGGATGTTGTTGTGATACATCTTGTGATAGCAGCTTCACCTATAGAGATTGCTTCTGCGTGGATCTTTGCTTTGCTTGCGTTGCTTTGGCTAGATTCAGCCTTTCGGTGCAGGCTTGGTACACCTTCGATTGAGTCCCCGTTCTACAGTATCTCCTGGCTTAGCTTGTGTTAGAATGTTTAACTTCTTCATCAGTTTCTTCTAGAAATAGCTCTCTAGCTTTCACTTGTTCTGGTTTGAGATTGAAGTCTAGCCCCAGCTAGAGTTATATAGTTTGATTTTGTTCTGGTTTGAATTCGAATTCTAGTCCTAGCTACAGCAGTACCTTGCTCCTATTCAAGCTTTAGATTTTAGCCTAGCCCTAGCTCCAGCAATGGCTTGCTTTTGTTCTAGCTTTAGGTTAAAATCTAGTTCTAGCTCTAGCTATAGGTTTAAGTTGAAACCTACTTGTACCTGAGCCAGAGATTTAGGTTGAGATCCAGTTGTAGTGCTATAGGCTATGGCTTTAGGTTGAAACCTACTTATACCTATAGCTATAGGATGCTATAGGTTTAGTTTGAGATCCAGCTGTAGCTATTGCTATAGGCTATGGCTTTAGGTTGAGACCTACTCAGAGTGTGCCCCCGGAGGGTTTGAACTTTTCGGTTCGAGTTCGAACTGCGTTCAACTCCAGTTCGAACACGGGTTCGAACACGAGTTCTCGCAGAGATTTTTTTCCGGGAGGGCTGGGGGGAGGGGGGGGTTCCAGTTCAGTTCGAGTTCGTGTTTGGGAGGTCGTGCCACGGGGGGGGGGGGGGCAGTTCTAGTTCGAGTTCAGTCTGAGTTCAAGGGGGGGTTGAGAATGCGAGTTCGAACTCGCAGAGATTTTTTCCGGGGGGTGGGGGAGTTTCAAGTTCAGTGCGAGTTCGAGCGGAGCTCACTATGGACCTACTTATACCTATAGCTATAGGTTTTGTTTGAGATCCAGTTGTAGCTATTGCTATAATAGCTATACCTGAAATCCGCCCGCACCGAAGGTGCTGGGGCGTGATCGTCCGGATGGCACTCGTAAAAGGTTACAGGTTTACCTGGGGGGGGGGACATTTTTCGGCCAAAACCTCCTGTTTTTGATAGGTCGTGACGCTCGCCTTCAAAAAACACTGTAAAAAACAGTACGGAAGACACCTGTTCGTGAACGCGCCCGTCCAAAATCGGCAAGCGAAAAGTGAAAAAAACCCGTGTTTTTCAACTTTTTGACCTCAATTTTTTGGTTTGCAACATCTTTTTTTGCGGTTCCGCAGGTGGCCTGGCCCGGAGGCGGATTTTTGAGTTTTTGGACCCGTTTTCGGACTGATTTTCGTCGTTTTGTGATAGCAGAAACACTGGTTTTTACAGTGTTTTTCTGTTTTCTGCATGCTTGACGGCTAGCTTCAAAACTTCCAAAAACCTCGTAAATTACACTGTTTTATGTTACGGTGTGAATGAAAACATCGTAAATACCAGTGTTTTTTGACGTTGGTTAAAAAAACACTGTAAATTACAGTGTTTTTGGCCACCTGACCCTCAAAAACCATGGTATTTGCAGTGGTTTCTGCTTCTCACCGCGCAAAAACACTGTAAATAACAGCAATTTCGCCGTTTTTTCATGTTTTTCGTTATTTTTTGAACTGCGTTGGTCCGCTATACATGGCTATCAAATTCTTCGCGTTTTTTTTTCCGACAATCAGTACTTTCGGATGTTTTTGGTCTCAATGGCCGACATCATTGGCAGTTACGATGCGGTGCGGGCGGTTGCCGTCGCGAAGCGACGTGAATATCCTGAAATCATCTCTTCGACGGATTTTTGCTTCAGCTGCCCTCCCCCCTCCCATATAGACTATACTTTATTGTATATCGTCTAGTTTGGTCTAGTCTAGATTCGTCTGGTCTAGTCTCCTCTCGTCCCTTTTCTCGAGCGAACTAGCACTCACCTTTTTTACATCATCACATCATCCTCGTCTCGCTGGCCATCGTCATCATCATCCTCCTCCTCATGGTCACCAGCTTCATCATCAGTATCATCCTCATCATTGCATCATCATCACACCCAGCTTTAAACAACCCCTGCTTTGGGGCCTGTAGGCCAAAGGCCAGAGGGCCCGCGGAATGCCAAAGGCTGTTAAATTTGCACATGTAATCTGTTGTTTGCATGTGCACGCATACTTGCTGCTACGCCAGAGGCTTCTTGCTTGCAGTTGCACATGTACCTGACGCAAAGTCGGGTTTCTTGCTTGCATGTGCACATGCAACTGCTACCACGTTGGGAGGCTGCGTGCTTGCATTTGCACGTGTACATGGTGCTACGGTGCTACCTCCTAAACTTATTGCATTCATTGGCACGCATGACCAGACGCGTTCTGTAGATGCTTGCTCTCGTTTTCTTGTGCTTGTGGCACTCGTTCAAAACATGAATACCCTTGGTTAAGAAAACACACATTTTTTTCTACCCATGGGTTTGGCGACAAATGTCGCCGCGTGCAACGAATGAATTTTGCAAAAATTTGCAATTTTGCTCAAGAATTGCAAAATTGATTTGTACCCCTTTGAATATCTAACAGCTGTGTGTTTTGAATATATTATATGGTATATACGATATATTATGATATGTTAAACGTATGTATATATATATATATATTAAATAATTAAATAATGGTTATATCATGGTTTTACATTTGCCCCAAATATCATGGTAAATCATCACTTTCCCAAATTATTCAATAGGCATTTGGGCATCACCATGTCCCCCATGTTTGGTAAAACCATCTCAAACCGATTGGTCAGGACCTTCCACCTGCATGCTCTGCAGTTTTGAAGACGCAACCCGACTTCCAGAGATTCCACCCGCAAAAAAATAAAACCAAAAACTACAGTGGATATTGGAATGTGTAGCAGTTGTTCCTCCAAATGCCCTCGCTTGCCTTCTTACATCTGCATGCATGCAAGTTTCCCTCACTAGAGACGCCTTTTCTCAGCTGGTGCATGAGGAGTCCATTATCCCAGTGGGTGCAAAGAGGGAAAGCTTTCGCAATCTGAAGCTAAGCTGAAACACCCACCACATTGTGAGGCGGCAGGGGCGGTGGTGGCAGCCAAAACTTGCAACCGATCCATCAACATGAATGCATGAACGAACATGCATGCAAGTTTCCCTCACTAGAGACGCCTTTTCTCAGCTGGTGCATGAGGAGTCCATTATCCCAGTGGGTGCAAAGAGGGAAAGCTTTCGCAATCTGAAGCTAAGCTGAAACACCCACCACATTGTATCCCAACCCCCCAACTAGGGAGGGAAGGGTTTCGGGGTTACAGGGGGTTGACATCATCCTACGGACTCTTCAGGCGCTGAAAATATGGCAAACGTGAGGGAAAACATGTCTGGTGCCACCCGCACCTCGGTCAGACATTGTAAGTACAAATTGGCCAATTGAAACACTTTGTGTCTTTGGGACGACGACAATTTCTCAAGAATGTTAATGGAGCCCAATTCTTGAACATAATGGAGCATGGTCTTTAAGTGAAGCCATCTCCCACGCCATTGCAATCTAGGAATGTCTTCATTCCACTGCCGGAAAAAGAAAGTTGCCCCCCCCGGTCTAAGGCTAGATGGCAAACAAATCTTGCTGTGGCCACAGGCCCGCTCTAAAAGCTGTGAAAAACGAGTCCTAAACAGGCTTACCGTATGCGGCCAAATCCTTTCTTTCGGCTGCATGGTTGATAAACATTTCTCTAAAAAAGCAATCACGAACGGCTCGTCGACTCGCACGGACTGATGACGAGCCCCTCTGGTTCGCGATTTTGTCTCTATCAGCCTGAGAAACACTACGTTGACACAGCCAGTCTCTGTACTGCGGATGCAATCTTCGACCTTCAGCGAGCACACTTCTACAGGTCTCAGCAAACCGAAAAAGCCTAGCAACAGCATCAATGCTGCTCTGATCCAGCGCCAGCTCACTGCTACAGCAACCATCGCTTGAAGCAAAGGAAACGGCAATGGAGGATGAATCTGAGACGGGTGCAGGCTCTCCCAGGTTGTCATCAACTGCCAGGGTCCAGCCATCATAGGTTTCAAGTAGGGAAAAAGCTGTTGGACCACATTGATGGTTTCCGCATAGTTCCGTCGGCTGGAGTTGCTCTCGTACAGATGCTTTCCGTACTCTTCCAACCATTCCACCACCACTATCGGGGAGCGTCTTGCTACTTCCCGAATCTCCGGCAGCAAAGGGTCTTGCAGTTGAAGCCACTCCACAAATTCCTGGAACAGGGTCTGACGAACCGAAGCTGTGGCAGCTGTGACTCGTCCCTGTAACAGGTCCAGACGATTTCGAGGAGCTGGAGGCCTTGGCCCAGCTACTAATGGAGGAGTGACCACCACCAGCAGACAAAAGAGCTGCAGCCCCAAACAACAACCACCGCCCCATGGATCGCGGCGTATTTGAGTTTTCATCCAGGGCATCTTGAGCCTGTGCAAGCAGCCCTCGGCGCAAACACAAAAACCACTTCGGTAGAGGGCACCTGGGTACTGAAAGCTTCTTTCTTCGTGAAGGGTCATCAGCTCTAAGCGACCATGTTGGGGTGTGTGCCCCTCCCAAATACAAATCTTTAGCAATCAGGACCGTCATTTCTTGAGCTAAAACTCGGTTTAGGGAGACACTGCTGCTACGTCCTTTGGCGCCTGAACCTAAACAAACCATGGAGTCTTGAAAAACCACATACCGATGGTTTGGGGGGAGTTTCAAAGCCAATGTCTTCCTAGCATGACACTCCAACACGTTGATATGCCCCGGCTTCTTGAAACGATACTTGCCAACCACCTTCCATGGGAGACTTTCAGATAGCTGGGTGGACCAAAGGTGGCTTACAAACCGTCGTGAGCTCTTGGAATCCTGAAGAGAATGATCGGGCGCTACCCTGTTGGTATTCTTATTTGGGTGGTCATCAGCATCCACAACCCTGTCATCATCAATGGACATCTTACATGGAGAACCAGGTAACCTACTAGAAAAAGACCCAACACCTGATGCCGCTACTCTATGAACCATGGTTGCAACAGCTTGACACATGGAAAAAGGATAAGCAGCCGCATTGGTTGTTCTAGAACCCTCCAACCTCTCATGAACGTGATCCCCTTTACAGGTCCTAGACATGCTTGATAAGGCCTCATGAGTCGCTAGGATACGGGTGCTCTTTTTGTGGGGGGTACCAAACTGACACTGATCCATCTTAACTTCAATGGCTCCCTGGTTCAAACAGAACTTCCACCATGGTAGATGACGGGTGAATGCTCCCCATGGGGTTTCCAACATGGCCATGTTACCAACCCAAAACTGAACCAACCACAAAATGAGTGAAAGGTGCATGAACAAATTTTCAAGCAGCGTATCCAAATGCAACGGGTCAAACCCCAAAGGTTGAGTACTACTTCGTAATTTTGGTGATCGCGCTAAGGAAAAAGTAGTACGTGGGGGGCCTAACCACAGGATAGCTATGCGTCTTGACATGCACATGCCAACCAGGAAATGCAACAAATCAGATTCAAGTACATCCCACCCGCGTTGAAGTTCTATGGGGGGCCCTACCACGTACCCCAAATCAGCGAATGCCTTGGTCATGCGTGAACACCCTGCAAACACTTCCAGAAAATCAAATCTAAGTTGCAGAGAGGGCCCCAGGGGTGTGCTTGAGGATGCTTGCATCCGGGCGGCAACATTGGAGATTCTCGGATCTTTTGAGCTAACCGTGCCGCAAAGTGCTTCCGGAACTAGCAAGGGCTCGGTGGGAGAACTTTGCTCCTCAAGATGGATTACAGGCGGATCATGGGCATCAGGCAACAAATCATTTGATGCTTCTGCGTCTGCACCGTCGCAACCTTTCTCATGAAAGTGGGCCTCAATTGGTGACAGCAGTCTAGTGTGAAAGCCCCTGGTCTCACAACGACGGAACAGCTCCGCAGAAACAGTTTCGCCTACCTTACACCCTATCAGGCCTGCCCCATCAGGAGAAGCATCTGTGCCGAACACTGTGCCACTTACAGGTGCTCTCATTGAGGTGAGGGCCGTAGACCCAAGAATGGACAACAATTGCAATTCCTGCCGCACAGCCAAAGGTATCTTAAAAGGAGCCTTTGCAGAACCATCAGGAGAAGACACGTGATACAAATTTTGAATGATGGAAAACAAAGGGCGCCTAAATTGAAACACAAAGGCCCAGCATCCCAACAATGTATCCAACAAGTGTCGAGTAAGCAACGGAGACTTCGCAACCATTGCGGTGACACAACTTAGGGACGCCATACGGCTTCTTTTGGCACCCAACAGGCCCTCAACCCCTTCGATTTCTGCACCCCAGGCTTGGAACACGGTGGCCCGCCTGACCCGCTTCTTTGGATGGTATGTCAATCCAGCCGTGGCATACGCTGAGTCTGCCATTTCGCAGGCAATGGTGTCTCTTAAAGGAGCATCCGGACTAGTTTTGGGGACAAATTGCATACTGACCTTGTCATCCACACAAACCCCAGAAAAATGGCCATGAACAGCTCTGGGAAGAATTTCACCAAACTTAAGATGCTCATCAGGATCCAAGGCACCAAAGCTCTGCAAAAGACATTCATGCGCCTCCTGAGCAATTAACGGTGCCCAGTGGTCTCCCATAGAGAGACCACCAAAACACATGAAAACGGATCGCAACTTGTCAGCAGAGATCTTCGGATGGCGTGCCAACAGCTGTTGAAATGCCTTGGTGCCCTTCCATTCATTACTACCCCAAAGTGGTCCAACAGGAGTTGAAAAAGCACGATCCAAACTCACAACAAACTCATGGTAAAAATTGCGAAGGTCATCCATTGAACCCAACAAATTGCAATTGTCAGGGATCACAATACCCAAAAAAGATGAAGGATGACCCATTTTTGGACCGTCGGAAGGGGGCGGCATCTCTCTAGCGTTTCTAGGGCGTCGGTCAATGATCTGGCGTAACTCTCCATCCGGCTTAGAAATGCAAAACAAATTACATCTATCCTGCAGATCAATTTCTTCGGGTAGAGCTAGCACTAATCTATTAACCTCATCCCAGCGTCGTCCCAAAGCAAGAAGTTCGGATCGCGAGGCCACGGACATGCAATCCGGCGGCATCATCCGGACAGGTTTCAAATCCCTCCACCCTAGCAGACTGGAAGGCTTATGGTAGGCTAACTTTGAGCCCTCACTCAAAAACGGCAATGGATCAAAACCCTGTAGGGTGGAAGGAAAAGCTACTTTAGCAGCTACCGTAGGTTGCACCAAGGTTGTTCCATCAGAATTCCTTTTTGACGAGACATTTGCGTTAACACCATAAGGAAAATCTTCACAAGACTGCAACAACACTTGCAAAGCAGCTAATTCATCGGCTGCGCCAGCAACCTTGGAGCCGCACCTCAAGAAGTCTGTCCTACCGAGGCGGCTAAGTGAGCGTGCCCGAACCAACAAATTGTCTATGACATTTTGCTGATGAAAGTTGAGGGGAGTTCCAAAACACCACCTACCATCTTTGCCATGCAAAAAGTTAAGGGCCGCCACCTGCAGATTTACAAGTAGTTCCAAGCAACGCCTACGCTTCCATCTATGGCGCTTTCGCCTGGACTGGCCATGGAACATGGCAGGGTTCCAATCAAAAGGAACAGGGATCGGGAAAAGCTCGGCAGAGGCTCTGCTACAAACAGGGCCTTGCAATGTAAAACCAGCTCTAACAAATCTAGCAAAAGGAGTCCTGCTTTGCAAGACTGATTGAAAAACAAAATTCGGCCAAGTATCGAAATCAGGAGGCCTCATGACTGATGTTCCTCGGCATCTGCTGCTTTGGTGCCCTTGCCTTTGTTCTTGCCCCCTTTTGCCGGAGGCTGGTAGGGAGGATTTGCCAGCTTTGGTTGGCCCCGGCGCTTCACCAGAACCTCTTCGTCCTTGAGACGGGCTGAAATTGCTGCAGCCCAAGTACTGTGAACCAGCCTGGAGTGAGCATGATCCAAACGAAGCTGGGCTAGAGAGGCATCTCGAACCCGCCATTCCTGGAACGGAGGAAGAGGCAAGTTTGTCATCCTCCATGCGCTCTGCCAGTTTTGGTCTAACTTGAACTGCTCCACCGACGCCAGTCCCAGCAGGAGAAGTAGATGAGCTTGATCGAACTGCTTGTTGCGCATAAGGCCGATTGTCTTCACAATCAACCACACCAGGTAGCCCAAGTTGCGATCGTTTCCGATCGGCAGCTCTTCTCGCACGAACCTTTCCATTGTGTCGGCTGACGGGGCTGCTAAGCCCAGGGCCGTGGCGGCTAGTGCCTCGATGGTCTGAACGTAATCTGCAGGATGTTGAACCATGCTCAAGCGAAGTCTCTCCTGCAGCAAAGTTCCCTTGGCACCGGACAATCGGCGCAGGGGGTCGTCCTCCTCGTCCGATCCGCTGCTGTCGCCCAGGCCCAGCCCCACTTTGCTTCTTTTGGACTTCTTGCTTCCCTTCTCCATCATCTTGATGAGCGCCAACTTCATCATCTGGTCGAGGTTGGCGCTTTCGTCGGGAATGTCCCCAGTTTCCTCCTCCAACTCCTCTGGAGCCAGCACATCTTGCGGGCGAGCCAAAGCTCCTGGTGCGGCTTTGGCCCTGGTGCCGGGCGCCTTTCCGGGCCACCGTTGCCAAGGCCCCTGGAGGCTTTGGCGGCACATTGGATGACGAAGAAGCCTGAGCTCTCATTTCTCCCATATCTGCTTGAAGCCCATTTACCACTGAAGCCAGGTTGTGCAGCTGTGTAAGCACGGCATCCAAAGCTTGGTTTGAGGCCCCAGGCTGGTCTGGAGCTTGTCGACCTTCGTCCTCGAGGGCGGTGAGGTACTGGTCGCTCTCCCGAACAGCAGCTCCTTCCACCCACTCCTGAGCCAAAGCACATAGATTGTCGGCATCCACACGCATCAGTTCGCCGCCTTCTCGGACATGAATGGTGCCCTCTGGCCATCTTGGGTTGGTCCCCACCACCTTGATGTGCTGGAAGATAGCCGAAGGGGCATCGAACATCAACACTGACGTAGTCTGGTCTACTACATCCCCCTGCACAGCAACTTGCAAAGTAGTGGTAGGCCCCAAGTCTGGGATCTCGGCGCCCACAGCTCCAGCGGCTATTTCGTCTGCTGTGAACACACCATCGGGCACGGCTAGCAAAAGACCTCCCTTTCTTTTGAACACCGGGATGGCAGCAACATCTCGATCCACAACGCGAAGCAACAACCATTCCCACTCAGGTCCAGCACTGGCCAATCGCAGACTTCTGAGCTTGCGACTGGACAAGGCGACCTCTCTTGCTGGCCGACTCATCTAAAGATACCGAAGGCCTGAAAGACCGTCGATACCCCAAGCCCAGCAACGATGTGGCTTCCTTGGCAGAATAGCCGTGGCAACACGGCTGGACAAACTATTCACCAAGTTCTGGTAGATGTCAGCAGGGATGATGTCGCTAGCCTCTGGAACTGGTTCTGGTTGGACCTCGGGGACCTCCGACCAAGACGCACTGTCTTGAGAAGAGGGGGCAGGATTCGGTGCAGCACTTTTGTCAGGATCCACCGCCACGTCAATGGTGATTCGAAGACGAGGCAGTGATGAGGAGATCTGGCACATACACTCTAATCTGCTCGCACTCTGTAGCCAGCCAAGCGGTCCTCACGGATGGGTCTGTCTATGGCCGTGTAGCCTTCCACCAGCACTGCCACCAACAATCTGCGCAGTCGGCTCGAGCAGCACAGCGAGGTGACGATGCAACCACAGCACACGCCCAATGAGAAACAGATCAGTCCGAAAAGAACCCACTCAGCGATCCCAGGGGCTGGTCTATGGCTCCACGAGGATAATCCAAACAGAATGGACTCAAGGTATCTATGCCACATGAAACTTTCAGCCAAAACTTGCAACCGATCCATCAACATGAATGCATGAACGAACATGGTTCTTGGGAGGCCATGGCGTTCGAATGGCTAGTCACTCACTTTGAGCATGGAAACCAATTTTTGGGGAAATTGTTGGGGCTACACATTCCGCTCATTTCTGAACGTTATCTTAAACAGTCAAAATGTTGAGCGAAGTTGCCAATTAATTGGCGTAGCCACTGAATTGTCGAGTCAGCTTCTGGAACCAAATCCATCCAAATCCCAGAAAGCAATGACAGAACTCCTGTAAGCCAAGCGCGACAAGCGATTTTACATCTCGCGAGTTTCCAGAAATAAGATCAAATAAGAACCAAAGTATCCACAGTTCACTGGGCCTTAAACTATCCAACATAATTCATTGGCCATGGCCAACTCACGACTGCTGACATCTTCAACCAACTGTGATTGTCATGTCTGTCATGTCTTTGCGAAAAGATGCCAACATGACTTTAAAATTTTAGATACATTTGAAGCATTCCAAAGCCAACCCGTTCTGGCCACTCATCAAGCAAATGTACTAGTGACTAAGTGACTAACCGTCAAGAACCTTGCCACCCATCAAGAACAAACATCAACTCCAGGGCCTTTTCAACTCATGGGTAGGTGCTCGCCAGATATCCCAGTTCCTTTCAAGACAATTTCATTGGTCAAGTATGATCCGGTCGGGTCAAATGCAGCCACTCTATCATCCCTCAAAGTTTTCTCTGCCGAATTCAACGCTTGGCAAGGACCAGAGCCACCGTACAAACGGTTTTGCTCGTTTCTTCCATGGTTTTCTTTCCGTGTTTCTACTCCATAGTGGTCACACATCGAAACGGCGATTTTTCCATTGCTTTTCCAATTAATGTTTCACGCGTGCTTTACGCGACAATGGTCCCACATCGGAGCCTCAATTTTACTTGGAATCATTTTACCCTCTCCCCATTGTTTCCACCGTTTTTCCTCGCGTTTTAATCAATTTTCCAAGCGTTCTACTCAAATTTTCCATTGTTTTCCCATTTTTTTCCCATTGTTTTACGTCATATTCCCTCATGTTTTCCATTGTTTGTCCCATAGTTTATGCTATCAATTTATCCTTCCATTTCATCAATTTTTCCAGCGTTTTGCCATGGTGTTACTCGATTTCTCCATCATTACCCTTATGTTACCCCAGTGTGTCTAACGCTTACCCAAATGCACCTTCCACAATCCCTACAGTTGCACCGTATAAACGGTTTTGCTCGTTTCTTCCATGGTTTTCTTTCCGTGTTTCTACTCCATAGTGGTCACACATCGAAACGGCGATTTTTCCATTGCTTTTCCAATTAATGTTTCACGCGTGCTTTACGCGATAATGGTCCCACATCGGAGCCTCAATTTTACTTGGAATCATTTTACCCTCTCCCCATTCTTTCCACCGTTTTTCTTCGCGTTTTAATCAATTTTCCAAGCGTTCTACTCAAAGTTTCCATTGTTTTCCCATTCTTTTCCCATTGTTTTACGTCATATCCCCTCGTTTTTTCCATTGTTTTTCTCATCATTTTCCCCTCCATTGCAATCTCCCCAAGTCCAGCTCGGAGGGCGGACCTGGGGGGAGTCGATACCTCACCGTCACCCAATTGCCACCTGGTACATAACCCTAAAAAAGTTTACCTCGGTCCACCTTACCACCTAATTTCGTGATTTTTGATCCGTTAGGAGCGCTCTGCCCCCAGACCCCCTAACTCACTTTGTTCGCAAAAAAAACTTTGCCTAGCCTAGCGGCTGGCTTTCGTGAAAAACCTGGAATCCGTTGTTTTCTATGGCCCTTGCAACAGTTTGGAGACAAAACCGAGCATTTCTGTGGTATTTGCATCGTTTTGGAAGTGGAGCCTCTCGCCCGTAAGGTTTTTGCAGGACATTGGACCTAGAAATCGAGCATTCGCAGGGCTTGACGCTGCCGTTTCGACAGCACCTGCAACACTTTGGAGTTCGAATTTTTGATTTTCGATGGCTCTGCTTCCACTAGTTTCTGTTGTTCGTCTTTTGACTCGACCTTCACCCTTAGTCCTGCCGGGTCTGTCCTCGAGTGATCTTGGAGTTCCGGGTCGGGTAGTCGATCTCCTCGGCGATCGATTCCCTGCTTGTCGTGTGCCATCACGTGCCGATCTTGGAGTACTAGTTGCAGCTCTCCGTCGCTGTCCAGTCATGTTCCATCCCTGCAGTGTTGATCTCGATATTGTCGATTTTGATCCACTATCTGCAGTGCCAGGTGAAGTTTGTGAAGCCTCTTCAGCTGGCGCAACTGGATTGTCGTTGAAGGTAAACTGAGTGTCACCGCTGCTACCGTGCATCTTTACGATATAGAGCTGACCGGTTCTTTACGTCCACGATCGTTTGCTCCAGGCGCCGGCTAACAGCACGCAAGCACTCCTCCCTCGTCGAGGGTAAAGAGCCCTACGGCTGATAACCTGTGAACAAATTGATCCTTGTCCTGGATGTCTTTGTAAAGAGAAATGCTTGCTTGCAATGTTAGCCAGGCGATAGCAACATGAGAGCGGCGAGCAATCAGTCTGTTTTCCGATATCTTGAGCCACGTCGGTGGCGGTATTGAAAGGATTGTGCAACGTATATGATACACGTGCAATCTTACCTAGTCCCCTTTGACACATACATACATACCATCTTGCTTTGTCACACACCATCTTTCACATTCCACTTTGTCACACACAACTGTTTTAACTTCTCGATCCTTCGCCGCCTCCTTTCCCTTTCCTTCCCCTGTCCCTGCTACAACCTTTGATGCTCATTATTGGAAGAAGTTGACTTGTGGGGTTATCCGGTCCTTTAATTTTTGGAACCCCATGCCGATCTTGATTTCCACCAAGAGATGCGCATTACAAGTTCCACCAATAGACCTCTGAGCAGCTGTAGCACTGAACCTTTTCCATCTGTTTCCAGGCTCAGAAAGTTATAACTTCGCCTTAGCCCACGGCGATCATGGGATGAAAGCGTCAACCCATGGCCAAAACTCCAATGGCACATGACCAACAAGTTCTCCATATCGAAAATCACGACTTGCCCGAAACACATGGGGTTGTCTGGAAATAGGATACCCCTAAAATTATGACTTCATCATCATTGTCCCTATTATTTTATCATCATTTGGGCACGACTCTCTCATGTTCAGACCAAAACATCATAGCTGGTGAGTTCATGGCTTCTATAGATAGCCCCATGAGATTCCCTGTCACATCCCCATTGTACCCCCATTTTTCTTGGTAAAATCCCTCAAAAAATCACCGGTCAAATGCCATCCTCACCTGCAATGCATCGCTGCGCGCCCGCAGTTCCGCGTAGTTCTCAATACTATTCTTCAGCTGCATCTCCTCTAGTGTCATCAAATACGGGTATGGGTCAAAATCAAAGACCTGGGAGATCACAGATGGTCGATTTTTAGTATTAACATGTATTAACCATCCAATTATTGGGTTGCCCAAGTTCGACCCATACCCATATGGAAATCGAAAATCCCCTCTAAATCGAGGTTTTGGGAAAATCGACCTCAGACTGGAAGCTCCCTGGGAAAGTCGATGGAGAATTCCCCAGCTGACCCACCAATTCACTGAGGATCGTTGATAAACAAGCTGCCAAAATCCATGGGATCCATTGGATCCATGGGATCCATGGGATTTGTTCTCCCTAGTGACCATCATTTCAGTTTTTCGCAACAGGGGACGCTATGATTCAACCCGTAGCATCCGAAACAGCTTTGAAGCTCAGCCGCGAGGATGGTCACCTTTTTCTCCAGCATGCTTGAATTGTTCATACATGAGCTAACCATGGTTTAACCACACAGTAGATTCCGTTGAGAACGGAAAACCACGGCTTTGTCGATTGCCATGAACTATGACAGCTCAAAATCTCAACCAGTCTTAAACTATGAACAATACTCACAATCAGACATGAACTTCTGAGGGTTTTTGGGTTTTTTTGAGATTTGAAAGGTATCGGATCTAAACCTGATGGATCTACACCCCAAACGATAAAAGCCACTGTTTCGACCCTGCTGAGTCATCTTCGGCGCTGGGCCCACGCCGTCCTGCAGAGTCATCTCAGCCACCAACTTCTTGGAGTTCTTCTCCCAAAGAAAGGTCTTGATCCACCTGAAGGGAAATGGGAAAACACCCTAACTCTTCGAGAAAAAAAAACGTAATGATACTAGTAATGATACCAGTAATGATACTAGTAATGATGCAGTACATTAATGATGATAGTAATGATACTAGTAATCAATAGTAATGGATAACGGCAATGAATAGTACAAATGGTAGTAGTAGTCAGCAAGAAAGTGATCAATAATAGTAATCAGTTGCAGTCAATAGCAATGAATAGTAATCAACTACAGTGATAATGATCCATCTTCACCACTTTGGACAATGGTAATCAATTCTAGAATGCTTGGACGGATAATGGCAATGATATTTCAATAATATCATAATGTCAAGGAATAATAGATAGCTATTATCATTAATTAGAATGTCATACTACATCATTTAGGAATTGATAGTATCATAGATAGCTATATTGTCAGCCGCATGTTTCTTCACCCCTGGGCTGTTTAACGGGGGGTTGCCTTGGAAGTACCTGAGTTGACATTGGTCATACGGTAGTGATAATAGCAATCGAATAGAACTAAGTAATTATTAGACCTAGCAGAAGTAATAATGATAACCTGTATATTAATTCATTACTGTATAGTAATTAACCTGACATTACTCATAGTATGATCTAATTCACAACGTTCTGATCATCCAAGTGGATCACATCTGATATTAGAAACGAGTCAATTGTAGTCAATAGTAATCAATGGCATGTCTTCAGATAAAAATGAGGAGTCCGAATCATGTGGTTTAAAAAACGAAGAAACAATCCCCAAGTCACCACCATTGAACTATATTGAACTTTTGGCTTTCATAAAAACAATCATAAAATCCCATCCCCATCCCCATGGTAGGATCCCACTCGGCGCCGCCCTGGCGCCATGGGGCCGCCTGAACTCCGCTTTGGGTGTCTCTCCACAGGCGACCAATTGGCGGCGGCATTGATACGCTTCGCCAACGAAGATGGGCCCCGCGTGCAAGATCACCTGCCGGAAAGATCCCCGGGAAGAAACCATCTTTATGGGAATACATATGAAAAAAACGTATAAGAACCTCCAAGTTGAGATAGAACTGAGTGAATTCCTGAAATATAGTAAAATCGTGATACATTACTCCATCTTTTTCGGGGTTTTACACACTTATACATATAATTTGATGGGAGATATATATCAACTAACGACTATATAATTGGATACATATTACCTAAAGGGACATAGAAGGATTGGAGCTGCAGAATCGCACACTTAAGAGTTGTAGCAGGCTAATCAGAAAACATGAAGCGATGCTGAATGTGAAAAAATGCAAGCTCTTGACATAAGCAACTCTCTGAACGGTGCAAAGTTCTCAAGTCCAACAGATTTGCGTGACTGAAATGTGAAAATTGTGGACACAGCCACTGGCATTGGGGATTATGACCAAAGGAACTATATAAGTATGACTATAGTGACTATTTTCCATCCTACATATCTACATATCTTATGTATCTACATATCTTATGAATTCTGATATTTGAGGGATGAACGAATCCATTTGCCAGCGATGAATCGAGGTTCACAGGCAATTTCCTCGGCTGACAAAGGCCGCCTCACATCCACCGAACAGGCCCACGGGCGTTCGCCCATTGAGAGCCTACACGGTTGGGGACGGAGTAACCTCCCTTCGAAGTCTTCGAAGTTACTGGGAGAACCCCTAGGAATGGTAAATCCTGGTTTAGTGGATCTATCATGATCTATCCATTTTGGGGGTCCCACTTTGGAACAGCTCCCGGGTCAAGGTTTCCACTGTCACTGGCAATGACCAAGGTGAAAATAGAGGATCATCTGGTGAGCCTTACCACCCTGGGCCCCGCCTTCTCCAACCACTCGTCACCAGGGATGGGGGGAAACCTAGACGATGGACCACGGTTTAGCCGGCTTGCCCCAGGATTGCTGGTGGTTTCTTTTGAAGAATCTTTCTACGGAACCGCAAAAAGTGGAGGATCTTCACATGCAGCATTCTTCTCGGCAGCCCAGCAAGCTGCCACTGAATTTCAGGGGGCTTTGGCTCAAAAAGTGGCACCAGAAAGGGTGAAATGTGAAATCCAAAACTGCTACCGTTGCTCAACACTTCCAAAGATTCTCGCAAGCCTGGGCCCTTTGGCGCCACCCACCATTCCCAGCATGATCTGGTTGAAACTCCTGGACGAAAAGCTTTAAGCTGTCATCGTTTCCGGATGTTTTCAATGGCAGAATGCCATGCTTTTTGGATCTCGATTTCACGCCGTAAAGCAACTGATTCTTTGTCTCCATCCACTTGAATGCAACTTCCGTGAAATGGCAACTATCCTCTTTCATACTCAGTAGATTCAATAGATTCAACAGATCAAAAATCAGCCATTTACTTCGATGATGTTGTCCTTTTTTTCTCAATAGATCAATGGCAATTGACCAAGGCGCTCGGGCGGCAAAATGGGGCGACCCCAAGGAGACGATGCACCAGCCTCCTGGTGGAGTTCCCCACTCACTTTGGAGGATTTTGGATGGAATTTTTAGCTGGGAAAATCATGGATTTTCAATGGGGAACACCGTAGATCATTTTCCGACAGAAAAAATGATCGGCATGGGTGTTCCACATCTATGATTAGTAAAAAAAGGCAAATTTTACGCGGCTACATCTTGTTTAGAGTCCAATTCCCTTGCCATGTTAACCATAGAGAACGAACCTGGGGGTGGTTATTGGGAGAATATGGGGATGGGATGGGGATATCATGCCTGATATCAAGGGATTTTTTATGGGGAAACCAGTTTAGAATCTATCATCTAGTTGACCCAGGATTCATAAACACCCAATTTACCAATAGAGGGTGCCAAGTTTCATAGTAGTTTATCACGATTTGGAGGTAACCCTTTCAATAGGCAGGGTTTATGAATCTGGGGTTGACACTTCCAATCACATCAAATTCATCAAAATTGGGGGATGAAACCCCATCCAAGCAGGACCTTCGCATGGTCATATGGTTTTTGTGAACACAGGGTCTGTGGTCGATGCCGATCTATCCGATCTATAGGCTCGGGGCCGGAATGACATGTGACCCGTTCAGTTTCAAAGCGCGACTTCCGCGCACCTCACTGTACCAGGGGTGGAACTCTGTGATCAACTCCAATTTCCTGGAGGGACAACTGTAGGATGGCAGAAAGGTGCGCAGCTCCAAATCCGAGAGCTCAAAGCCGGTTAAAGAATTGTCATTCAAGATACATTCATGAATCGAATCTCATCTAGTTCAGCAACTATTCTCGCTATCTGCAAACATTATTTCACTGCCCCCCCTTCCCATCCCTTCCCCATCACCGCTCATCCTTCGATGTGTGAAAGGGAAGAGAGGCCCTACAACCTGCCATCGTCCCAAAAGACGCTTTCGATTGGAGGAGCTTGGTGGAAAAGCCTTGATTTGACGGCTAAGACATTGCTACCACCGGAGGAATCATCTCCAAACAAAAACAGATCCCTCTATTCTGAAACGGTTCATTAGCATCATCAGCTACGAGTCAGAAAAAAGAACACTAGAGACCTAAGTATTAGGTATTTAGGTCATTCAATACCAAATTAGATGAATTGAATTGAATTGATAGATTCACAGCAGCTTTTGTAAGCCAATTGGTACCTCAATTACTCTCCGGTCATCAAACATCATGGAAAAATCCGTCATTTATAGATAGAAATTTCCCATTCAAACCCAACCTCCATGGCTATGCCACGGGGATCTCCCACGTGTGACACGATGCCCCGGGTCGCCTGATCGAAGTCGATCCGCGCATCTTCCAGTTCCAGCGACTCGGTCTTCGGCGGGTGCCGGTGGAAGAGCAACCTGACGTGGGCGGTTGGGCGATGATCCCTGGGATCTTCCAAATTGATCCCTGGATATATCCAGATATATCCAGATTGGAATCCAGATGTATCCAGAATTGTTGGTGCATGATATCCCGCTCATCATGATTGCTGGTAAACCCCAATGTAACCCAACATTGAAGGCCCTGGGGGTGATGGGGGTGAGAAAATTGAAGAACACCAAATAACTCAACTAAATAACCTAGTACTTCACAGTCTGATTAGCTAAATGAAAATTAAAATTGACCCGACAATTCGAAAATGACCCAGCGATGTCAACTCTGAAACCAAACCAGCGTTGAGGCTGACAGAATTAGATGACACGAACCTGACTCACCAAGGGGGTCAACAAAAGTTCCCTCTGATCAAAGACATTGTTGGGAATCAGGTATGCAAGTTTGGAGGTCTTCATCTGGATCCCCGACTCTCCAAGAAAGACTGTTGGTTCAACAACTCATCAGTATCTTTACTGTTTATATCTGATATGATCCGTTTTTTTTTCTGCCCTCCGTCTTGATCAATCCAGTTTCTGTGAAACTGTAATTCCACCCCTGAGCTCCCTCACCTGCCCTTCACAGGTTTCACTGCAGCAATCTTCGTTTGAGCCTTGGGGCTTATCGAAGCTCAGCGGGATGTCGTTTTGTTGCCAGGAAAGACTAAGCAAGTCGGCATATCTCAAAAAAAAAACATGCATCAATATTATATAATATCTGATGACATATCATAATTATTATATAATTCAGATAATTCAGATATTTCCCATCATATAACCATGTACATATCTGAATTGGAGGGAAAACACCAGCACCTTGAAGAAAGGCTTGGGCATCTCCCAGGCCAGCTTACCGATGACCGCCGCCCCAGGGTCACCCCGGCCATGGTCATCTCCGTTCGCTGCCCCACACTGGCGGTGCCGTCAAAGACCAAGCGACCTCAGGGGCTCCCAACATCTGGGGGACCCCGAACAAATGGGGATATCACCACGTTTATCCATGTTTATCGCACATGGTTTTTTGTGGTTTATCAGTGATCAAGATGAGTTCCTAGTTGTTGATATTGTCCAATATTTATTGACTATGATTGACTTACATTGGGTATGTGCCTCCAAAATCTGGGTGCCACCCCTATGCTGAGTGGCCACACCATCCAAATGTTCCATCCAAACCTTCCGCTGCTTCGTTCCACTGATCTCCAGAAAGGCCCGAACTGGTTGAAGGTGACCCACCTTCCGGGCTCTTAAGTCGGTGATCCCCATTTCGAACCATGGTTTTCAATACAAGGTCATATAAGTCATGGTCTATGTAGTGACTTGGATGATTTGGGGTACCCCGCTTGACTTAGGAAACCTCCATATCAACACAGACTGCCACTTGCTCAGTTGCCACTATTCCAAAATCCACCAACAAAACTGTCCCTAGGAAGCCCAAATCACCAACCTCTGGATCAGCTGATCACCCACCCAGCTGCAGCCAAAGGAGCCATGTTCACGAAGTGCACAGAGATAGACCCCGTCTCAAACCAAGCAGGTCCAAAAGCCTCTGCTTATGGTCGAACAAAAGGTGATTTCAGACCCGAGTGCTGTTTTTGTTGCAGGAAACCCATGGCATTTTACCATGCATCAAAGGTCTTCCATCTTTGGGAGAAAACTTGGGACAAGCTTGGGACCGACACACTCAAAAACACCAAGTCTGAAAACAATGTCTAGGGAATCGGGTTCAAAATCCATGGGAAACCAGTTTTGGACACCAAATCTTGAAACCCGTACCCTCTAGTAACTTACCATTTACCCATTATGTTGTATTAATCCCATCCATAGTATAAAACATCCCCATCCAATGGTCCCAAAGATGTGCAAATCCCCTATGAAAAACCATGGTTTCTGGGTATTTTGTATCTCTTGCCCATGATTTCCATAGGCTTGGCTCTGAAAAATAGGGTATCCCCAAAATCCCATGGTTTATCACCATGTTCCCTATGAAACTGGAACATGTTTATGGGTATACCCCCATTTTAAGCCTTGCCAATTTGAGCAATCTCACGTTTGCACGAGAATGATGTATGCGGCAAATTTGCAAGGTATTGAAGGAAAATTACGTACACAGGTATGATACAACCATAAAAAAGGAGGTATCGAAAAATTCGGCAAAGCTCCCATGACCAGATTCTCGTGTTTTCACATCCAGAAACCGAGGACCGTCCCCCACATCTTTCGTATTGGTGGCTCATTTTCCATGGTTTTTTTCTATCCTCCCGAGCTCTGCCTCCAATAGCAACGGGGTCAGCTGCGACCAGTGCACCGTCCCATGGATCGGCGCCAACTTCAGCCCCACCTGACACTGAGCACCATTTTTTTTAGCCCGGCCCTGCGGTCATCAAACCTGGCAACTTTGAAATCTCTCAGAATTTCAATGTTGAAATGCCTGAAAAAATGGCAGCTCCCAGCCAAGTTTGATTGCAGGAGGGGGTCATTGTCATTGATATCCCAAACAGATTCTCTCAAGATGGATGTCACTGGTTCCTGATTCCTATGTCACCGCCTTCGCTCGTTAGTTCAATCTGCGAATTGACATCACGTCTGCTAAGCCAAACATAAAGACAATGATCCTACTAACAATAGCAATGATAGTTCTAGCTACATTTTTTTTATAACGTCAATAATGCTAACAATACTCATAGTAATCGGAATAGGAGGAGTAAGAGTAAGAGTACTGATAATGATAACAGTAGTCTACAATAGTTATAATGGTAATATTCCTCAGCCTCATCCTCATCCCTTGACCTCCTGGTTTAGAGCATCTGAGTCGAGTCATCAGGGGTTCAATGTTTCACGATGACATGTGAAAATCACTGCGCCCAGGGGCCCCCATGTTGGGGCGATAATGCTTAAAGCTTAGCAAAAAAAAACTCAGTTTTTTTTGCATGTTAAAGCCGAGTGTTTAAGCGCGTTGTCCTAAGAATCTGCGAACATCCCATGAAAAGCCGGGCGTTTCCTTGGCAGCACCTTGGCAGCGGTGGCATCATCGTGGATTGCCTTGTGGCCACCTCCAACCTCCTGCTCCTGCAGGCAGGAGGAATTTGGCAGAAATCTGGGGCTACGAGAACATACCAGAAGCATCAGTTCAAGATGGTTGATGTTGAAGCTGTTTTTTTTCCAAAGATTGACCCAGCTTTGCAACCCAACAGCAGGTTCCAGGGCTCCGGGGCTTGGCAATTCCCAGACCCAGAGATTGAACCCCAACAGTCACTGTTTCCAGGATGGGTTTGTGGCCACCCGTTGCTGTGGCAAAATACTTCAGATTGGACCCCTGACCGACCATCCGTTTTTTCCAAAAAGAGTCACTCTGCAATCATAGAAAATCTCTGATCTCAGGGTCTCAGGGAATAAAATGGAATAAAGTTATAGGGTTTTTTCGGTGGTTGAGACCAAATATGTGGCTAAAAGAATGTCATAAACCACCCCTTTGGCAAATTTCAATCCCAGCTATTTTTTAATGCTTCAGAATCTCAGGGAACAACAAGGAATTTTACAGCACCTGTAGGTCGTTGGGAGGACGACGCCATGCTCCCACCAAGCATGGCAGCTCTGGCCGATGCTTGCTCATGTTGCGAAAAAGAACTGACTTGTGAGATAGATATTGTTAATTAATTACATATGGGATTATGGATTATCATATATATATATATAAATGGGTTAGAACTGGATTGATCATGGAAACACACCAACAGAACATTCAACTTGACCTGTTCGAACCTCTGGTGACTTTTGAAACAGAGAAAGTCATTGCAGTTTGTAGCCGCTCTGCCGTTGTGCCGTTGCTCAGAAGTCTGAAAATGCTACGATGGGTCCACGCTCTCACCGTCATTTCCCTGTGGCTTCGGAATCTCCAGCTGCGTTCGCATTTTTTTCACAACTTCGCGGCGATCCTCTCAGTGGCTCTCCAGTTGGCAGTGCTGCGGAAGCTTTGCAAGGCCTGGCGTGTAGAAACCATGGGAAGGGAATGGTGAAACCAGGTGAAACCAGGTGAAACCAGGTGAAACCAGCTGAAACCAGGTGAAACCAGGTGAAACCCGGGAACAAATCGGTTTCAACCAGCAACAATGTGCGGCAACACGTCGTTTTGACCAACGAGAATGATTAAGTTCTGTGCAAATGCAAATGGAGTGTGTCCAAAAATTGAGATTTGACGATCAGCAATGAGATTTGACAACAGAATTGAGATCTAAATCCAACCAACAACAATGAGGGAGAACTGGCCAACTGTAATCGGGATGCAAGAAAGCAAGAATGCCAGTGCGAACCATATATTCTATGCAATCAACGACAATGCACTTAAATGTCACTGACAAGTGATTGCCATGTAAAACCAGCTAGAACGCATCTATAATACCAACATCATCCAACATCAACATCATCCACATCATATTATACCATATCACCATCTATCACCATATTTCCATCATCCAACAGGTTGTCCATATCCATTGCCCATCACACAGACTTTCTCGCAACAGCCGCCGTTTGTTACAGCGAAAATTACTGATCATCCCCAATCTCCAGCATCCCCAGCACAAATCAACCATCCATGGCATGGAATGCTATAATAAATATCCGATTCATTCCATGAAAAAAAGATATAAAGATTATGAACATATATATATACATATATATATATATGTATGTGTGTATGTGTATATTGCGAATCAGACCCTCTGATTACTGCCTGTTTTGACCAGCCGTAGCAATTGGCTTCCACATCCCGCCCGCCCTTGCAAAAGCGGCGACGGCACCAGCGCTCACACTGAGAAAAGCTGATGTCATGAATGCATGATGGACCTGCCAGGAAAGACCATAAACTAGGGAGTTTCTCACACCTTCTCTCTCGATGAAAACTGTCTCTTAAAGAAAATGGTCTCTCCTATCCAAGTATGTGGAAATGGTGCTGAACCCCTTGTTCCAGTCCAAAAGTCCCTCACCGGTTTACTCCCCTTTACTCTGGTCTCCCTTGAAGCAGAAAGTTCACTGATAGCTACAGGACACCCAGTAACCCCAATCGGAACAAACCTCTCTCTCCGTGGAACAACATGGATTCTTCGCACCTGATTTCCAGGTCCACTCTCCCAAAAATCTTGAGTGACCTCAGCAGATGAATTAATGACCTCAGTCCGAACAGGTGATACGGACTGCTGTTCAGTCTCCTGTTGGTGATTTTCCGGATTCGGAACGGAAATTTGTTCCCTAATCCATTTGAGTCGTTGCCGACTGTCTGCCCTTTGTTTCAAAACTTTGTCCTCATCAAACAACGAATACCTCCCTGTCCGAAGACACTCCCTAAGAGTCGATGAGTCCATGGATTTAGTAAGGCAGTCAGCCAGCATCGCCTGACTTGACACCCATCTGATATCGCAGTTGGCTTTCAACCGCTCTCTGATGAGCAAGCACTCTATTGTTGTTCTGTGTTCACTGCAGCTTGGAACTGCTGTGCGAGTCAGGATGTCATACATGGATCGGCAATCCGTCACAACAGCTGCCTTATTCTCTCCCTCCAAAACTTGCTCAGGATTACTCCACTCACAATCAGGGTTTTCTATCCATGCCCATAACATCCGGAGCCACAGCAATCTGTCCACCGTGTTGCTTAAAGCTGCCGCTTCAGCACTCAAGGTGCTTCGCACCACCCGAACAACTTTCTTGCTTGACCATGCAATAGGTGCCACTACCGATCTTTGATTCTCTAGGATCTCCTTTGTAGTGCCAAAAACAAGGGTTCCCTGATGTGCTGTGCTCTGCTTACTCGACAAGAAGCTGGCATCCGAAAAAGCACACAGCGTAAATTCCCTAGGCTGAATTGGAAGAACCATCAATGACACAGGATTTGATTTTGCCTCATGGAGAACCTTGTTACAATTGATCAGATCGGAGACACAGGCTTTGGTTACCATGGCTTGGATCTCCCCAATTTTTGCACAGAGATCTGGACGTGTGTGGACCCCTGCATATTGCAGTGCACCGACAAGACTCCTAAGAGCACGGCGTTCCGGTTCTGTCACCGGTGAAGATGGATCATTTCGTCGATCCTTTGAAATGCAAATGGGATCAATCTTTTCAATGTATCTCTTTTGGTCGTACTCAATGCTACCATCATCCCACTGCTTGAAATCGATCCCTGTATACTTGAATTGTCCCACTTCAAAGGATCCAAACTTAAATCTCTTCTCGACCCTCTTCAACATATCCAGAAATTCCGGGGATCCACCTCCTATGCCATCATCCACATGAATTCCAAGGCACCCTAATGGAATGTATTGCCCCTGATCCCCAAACTTTCAATACGTAAAAACACACGGATCCAAAGGACATTGCCTACACCCCTGCTTCAAAAGCTCATCACGAAGTTCACAAAACCACAAATAGGGGGCGTCGATTCTTCCATAGGCACCTCCATTCAGGGCGCACTGATCGGCATCTGTCATCGCCAGTGCTCCTTTGATTTCAGATGGCGGGTGAATACCCAAATTACGTCCATCCCCTTTGCCATGGAGAAAAGCTGTGCTCACATCGAAAGACAGTAATGGCCAGCGGTGACTACTCACCTGTTGTAAAACAGTCTGTCTTCCATCCTTCGTCAATGTTGGACTGTCATTCTTAACTGTACTGATGTCGGGATCTTCAAAACCGATTACCACCAGTCGAGCCTTCGCTCTCTTACCATTCATGGCAATCTCTCCAGGTGGTTCATCACCATTGGCCCCTTTCCAAGTTAAAAGCCAGCGGCATCTCATGACAGCATGTTCAGGGATGCGGCCTTTGGCCACTTTCTGGACAGTCTTATGGTGCAGCCATGCTTTCACTTCTTTGTCTTTGGCCGCCGCAAACCTCAACTGATCCTCTTCCCCTAGTTCCTTCAAACTGACTTCTACCCTCTTCTTACGCTCCTCAGCTGCCATCATGACAAGTTCTTCAGGGTTGTCAATGTTTCTCAGAGGATCAATAGAAGGTGGTGTCACATCGATCTCCCAGAATCTTGTTGTTTCATCTTCCCAAAAATCAAGAGTATCCCCAAACCAGAGTTCCTCATCATCATCATCCCCTCCTACTGGAACTCCCAAACCACCCAAATCACCAGGAATCACCCCATCCCCATCATTCATTAGGGTTTCACCTTCGGGTTCGGCTATTGAGGGGGAATACCCAGATTCCGGGGGTTGATCGGTATCCGCAGGATCGGGTTCTGTGACACTGGACTCTTCATGAGGCAGTTCTTCTGCTTCTAAATTGAAAAAGTCTTGATCTTGAATTCTTTGAATCCAAGTCTTGACAGGAACCATCGCCTCTTCTGAGTCCTTGACGGCTTGCCACTCTCGCATGGATGCAGAACGAAGCTGTTCTGGACTGGCTCGTACTAACTGATTTGCATGGACTACCCACACTACATTTTTGCTCTCTACTTGAACAACCCTAGCAGGACCATACCAACGTCCCCTTTCTCTCCTAAGGTTGCCCCCTTTCCTCCGCCAGTAGAGAACCCAATCCCCTTCCTCAAAAGGTTTGTGGAGTGGTCTAGTCCTGCGCAGCAAAGCACGGCGAAGACTACTGCAATTGTCAGCTTCTATAAATGCACGTCGTGCCCGACTTCTGCGGTTCAGTGCTTCTCGAAACTGATCTGTCTCAGAACAGCCATCAGCTGCCAATGCATGACTTCCTTGAGAGGTGTCAGACGTGATGGATCCAGGCAAACGGCGAGAGATACCAAGAACTGCCTGCTCTGGAGTATATCCCCTAACCCTCGACAATGCGTTCTTTGCACAAACAGCTTGAATCAGATTCTCCCTGAAAGCTTCGGGGCTTGTAATGGCTTCCTCTTGATCCATTCTATCCAACATTCTCTTAATGATTGACCCATGCACCTCAGTCCGTCCTAATTGCCAGTGGCTGTCTCTTGCTGTGACTTTTGGACAAATTCCATTTTCTTGAAGCTTCCGTAAGAACACCCCTGATACATACTCCGTTGCTGGATCAAAGTACATTTCTTTTGGGGGTCCAGCCCAGCTGAGCCACGCTGATTCAAATGCTTGGAACTGAGCCAGTGCATCCTCCTGGCATGGTCGTGCCTGATGGAATAGAGTCCCTTCATCCAGAAAATGAACAAAAGCATACCTGACTCCACTGCTTCCAGTCCAATATGCCATATCCATACCAACCACTTCATTGAAACCAACATTGTCATGAATGGCCGCAGGACGTGTGGATTGAAAACCTGCCTGAGACTCCACACAGGCATCGCACTGATAATCTAGTGCGCCAGACACAATCTCTGGCTTTGCGTGAGTCGATTGAAGAAACCGTGCCAACTTTTGGGGGTCAGGATGTCCCATCTTATGGTGAATTCCCCGAATCCAATCCCTATCCTCCTTCTCTAATCCCAAATACCCTGGACCATGTTTGGGAATCTTTTGGGGGGGATATCCCATTTCCATGATACTCGACTCACTTGGTTTTGGAAGATCTGTTGTCTTCCGGTTCTCTTCCATTTGATGACTATCAGCAAAACTCTGCATTTCGGCGGCACAGTCCACTCCGATGAAACTGCCTTTGGCTGTTCCATCACCGTCAGCCAGGTTCTTCCCCAGGACAGCATCTTTGTTGGAAGAAACCAGATTCCCCTTATCTACCCCAAAAACTGTAATACAGATCCTGGCCGGTTTGGCCTTCCTGATCTTCCTACCTTTATTCAGGGTTTGCCACAACTCTGGTTCTCCAAGCTCTTCTATCTCTCCTGACTCCCGGTTGAGGATGATCGTCCAGCGATATTGGAAGCTCGAGGAATCAGTCCCCTCTTTTGGGAGTCTATACCTTTCAGTGCCTCTGCAGATCTCAACATGTGTAGGTTGGAACCCATGAACCAGCATTTCAATTTTTGAAAACAGATCCCCATGAACATCACAAACAACACTCCCTACCCGTGGAGCCATGCGCCCTGCCAACTTGAAAACTTCTTTCCATGTGATTGCCGGTCCATATGTGAGTCCCGCTGGAACTGGTGAGAGATCCTCTTCCTCTCCGGGCCTTGGCCCTTGTTTCGCTGAATAGCGCCGACGCTTAAGAATTTTACCTGCCCACTCTTGCTGCTCTGACTCTTCCACTCCAAAACAGGGAACACAAAATTCCTCCAACATCACTGGTCTTTCCCCAATATCCCGACTATACCCCAAACAAAGCCCCACATTCTTGGAAAAACCCCTGGAGTACTTTGCAGCAAAAGCGGATAGATTCTGCCAGCGTCCTGAAATCTTGATCTGACCCAAAATCGGATCATGTTGATAATTCTTCCGGCAGTAGCGCGCGTCGAGCATTGAGTGAAACTCTTTGGAGGTCGTGAGCACCACAGTTCTTTTTCTGAGATAATTATTGCCCTTGGGAATCTTTAGTTCACCTACTTCACACATGTCAAAAACTGTTCGATAAGTTCCCAACACTACTTCATCCAACTCTGGTTGTTCAGTAGCCTCAGACCCCTGAGGTTGTTCAAGATGAAAATGTCTTCCCCGGGAAACCTGATACCAATACAAATCCGAACATAAGGCTAGGTGAACTCTTTGTTGATTCCTCCCTGCTTGTATTTTTGCTGCTGTTGCTGGGCTTCTTCCACTGTTCCATCTGCTAAAGTTTCCCCAGAACTTGCATTCGGGTGCCACCCAAATGTTTCGTGGCTGCTCTCGATGTATCATCTCCCAGAGTTTCGCTTGCCCTTCAGCTGTTCCAAGATCTCCGTCTTGACGGGTAAATCTCTTGGCCTTCATTCCCATCTCTGTGATGACTTTCGTTAAGTTGGAGTCTGGTTCACAGTAAACTTCCAAGAGATCCAGCCGACATGACTGAGACTCAGTTCGTGGTGCATGTCGTGTCCGAAATTTGCCAGCTGTCTGAGCCACCAAAACTTCTACTTCCCGTTCCAGGTGTTGAGAAACTTCCTTCAAGTGACAAAGGATTTCCTGACTCCTTTGAATAACTGAAGTACTATCATTATGTTCCCCTGCAGGAAGATCATGGTTGGCATCAGCATTCTGACTCACCCTCGAATTGTGTGAAAATTCCCACACTGCGTGGTGTTCTTGACCACCTGAGCCAATTGATCTTGTAAAAGAGCAATTTGAAGTCGAAGCTGCGCCACCAGCTCCTGATTCACATCCGCTTGCATGTCCTCCTCCTTCTCCTCGTGGATCATCCGCTTGCCCTGACTGGACGATGACTTGCCGGCGTTCTTGACAGGCATCAGAGGCTTCTGATGCCCCTCTTCGATGAGGATCAACTCCTCTTCGTCGCTCCATCCCGGCAACTCCATGTTCTTCTTGGGCACTGCTCCCATCTTGGGCCTGGCTCCCAACTGCATGGATTGGCCATGACCCTGACTTTGATTCCAGGCCTTGACAAAGTTCTGGAACGATACTGCCCAATCGCTCCGAAGGCCGGGGTGCTTCACCATCCACCTTGAGTACTCGGGGTCCTGAGTCACCACCTCCATGAAGCTCTTCGTTTTGTGCTTGCCCTCCGGCATCACCATCGAACCCCATTGCCGCAAGCTGGTCACACCCGGTGGCCTGCTGACCTTCTCCTCCACATTCTGTGTCATGTAGGTCATAGACGGGTCCTCTGGAAATGGCAGGGGACGGTCGAGGAGAGACGCTGCTTCCTTCTGGCTCGCCATCGAACACCTCCGAATTGCACTTGACAAAATCGCTGTCGAAATTGCTGAGAACAGGGCGTTGAGCCACTTTGGCTACACCACTCGCTTTCATCCGCTGCTGTGTTGCTGTTTTTGTTTCTGAAATTACATTTGTCACAATCTCCAAGTTTTGACAAGAGTGCTCACGACTGAATGCATCAATCACATCCGCCAATTGAACAACAAACAACCCCTTAGGGTTAGTTTTCAATGGGACCTCAATGCCTAGCTGGTTCAGGCGGAGTGTGGACAATCTCGTGCAGACATCTGCATCGATCGCACGCAAAAATGAATTGGAGAGCAAAAATGGTGTTTCTCCTCTGACTACTTCAATTCTCATCCACCGTTTTCCAAATGGAAGATACAGGGCTCCAACAGATGGTAACACAGCATTGTTCCCAAACCGAAAAACTGTTTCTGATTTCTTCCAATTCATCTGCCTTTGAATCTCACTTGGCATGCTCTGAATCAGCGCTTTCACTTTTCTCTGACCGATCACTGTTTTGCTAGCGCCAGTATCAATGATAGCCGGACAATCCATGCCCTTTGAAAAGGTCCTACACTCACCTTCACCCCTCCTGGACATGGCCCCAATCAAAGCACTTCCCAAACAGTGACCGGTGACATTTTGTCGTTTCAGAGTGCAAACAAAAATTGATTCAGTGAATTCTTCATTAACTTTGGAATTAAAAATTCCCAAGGATGTTTGGTCTGTGGAAACCCAGTCCTGGAAGTCCCAGTCTTGCAACAACTGCTCCATGGTCTCGACGCCTTGAAGACCAGACGGCAGGCTGTCCAAGATCTCTTCGTGATCCGAGGAGAACGTCACGTCAATGGCCACATTAACGTCCTCCTTGTTCCCCTGCTGATCCTTCAAAGGACACTCCCACTTCCAATGTCCACGAGCTCCACAGCGTCGACAATTCGACGAAGCGATCCGATCTGCCAAGGATTCCCGCTTCTTTGGAAAGCGGCTCTGGTCGAAGCGACCTGACTTCTTGCCTCCTTTGCCTTTGCCTTTGTTTCCTTGGACTGGCCAGAAACCTCGGTGACGAAGTCGATCCCTGATCTTTGCACGAGCCTCTGCATAGGCACCGTAACAGGTCGCAAGATCCTGATTTTCCTGGCACACCTCTATCAATTGGTCTTCAAAATCCTTGATCATCAAGGCCTCCTCATCACCCTGTTCCGCCAGATTGATGATGGCCTGTTCCTCATCAATGGTCTCTGTGTCCACGGCTGCATGAACTTCCTCTACGTCCTCCTCAGTGTAGTTCACAGGGTAGATCTTCTTCTTCCCCTCCGGTTGTCCCACCAGGACTTTGGTGGAGAGCTGTCGCATGGCCCGTTCCACAGCCTCAGGTGTCAATGGACTATCCACCATTGACAACACTCGCTTTTTGTCCTCCACCGTCAGCGACGATTGCCGCAGCAAGATGAAGGCTCTGATATCCTTCACTGTCATGTTGCCCAGCTCATGGAAGGCCACTGCCATACGGTTCACATAGCTCTGTGTCACCTCGTCAGACCGCTGAGTTGTTCGATAGAGGGCCTTCTCAAAACGATCATAGACCTGCATCTCTGCTGCCTCCTCCCAGGTGGCAATCGACTCCAAGAGAATCTTGATTCCCTGATCAGGGTCCGTCAGCTTCTCAGTGTCCATTGACTTGATTTGGGCCCAGGCCGTGCCCTTCAGGAGCATCGCCAAACGTGGCGCCAGCATAGGCTTGTCCTTTTTCGGACAGATGCTGGCCAAAAACTTCACCTTGTCCCTGTATTGTCTCGGATCGTCACTCTGTGGATCGAAGCTCGGAAGAATCGACCACAAATTGGTCTTCTCCTCTGGAGTGGACCCAGAGGACATGGCTTCAAAGTTGGACACGCCCCGTGTCCGCGGAAAAACTGGTCGACCCTGTCAACCCCAGTAATTTGTTTCCTGTCAGCCTAGACCTGACACCTGCCTTACCTAGCCCCTTTTAAGAGAAATCCCAAAAACCTAGGTTACGCGAGAGCTAGGGGTCAGCTCCGCTACCAATGCGAATCAGACCCTCTGATTACTGCCTGTTTTGACCAGCCGTAGCAATTGGCTTCCACATCCCGCCCGCCCTTGCAAAAGCGGCGACGGCACCAGCGCTCACACTGAGAAAAGCTGATGTTATGAATGCATGATGGACCTGCCAGGAAAGACCATAAACTAGGGAGTTTCTCAGTATATATATATATATGTATATATATATATATAATATACATATAATATACATATAATATATGTATATCTGGTTTAAGGAGACCGTCTCCATGGAATCGGAGATTGGAATCTCAGCGCCTCCATCCCATTCCAAACACGATCCACAGCCGACGGAGTCAACGCTTCGCCCAACTCTTTGGACCTCTGGAGACCTCGGAAGCACCGCCCCGGTGGTAACGGTGGTAACGCCATAGAAAACCCACCGGTTGTTTTCGTCGTGGGAAAACGTGACTGTAATAAAGGTGTGCCAAAGTTTAGCGGTAAATCATGGTCTTATTGCAATTCATGGGTCAATTGTGGGAAAATTCGTATAAATCATGGTCAATTTCGATAAACTATGGCAACTTCTGGTTGAAGTCTGATGATTTTTGGAATCTATGAATACGAATTCCAAGGGGTTGAAGAATGAACTTCTTGGTGGTTCCAAAAAATCCTGCTGCTACTAAATCTCATCCAAGATTCAGGTATCAACCATCAACCCATTCTTAGGCCATCAACCGCTGAAGGATTTGAGGTTCCAAAATGATCCCTTTCCAACTGCCAAGATGCTATGAATCTCGATGAAAAGCCTGAAAAAGTTGAACCCTGGGAGACTTTTTCAAAAACCCCCATGGAAAAATCTCAGCAAGTGGAAAACCAGGTCTAATGACAGCTCTCAAAATGGACAATCATCGAATCAATGAATCTCAATCACAAGCAGTCACTATAACCCAATTTGAGAGATCCTGCAGTGATTTGTTTGAACCCCGAGCCTGGGAGCAGCATCCAGCTGGGCCACAAAGTCCCTGAAGGCCTAATGGGATCCCAAGTTCTCAGATTGGGGATGGTGGTGAAAAATGGATGGAGATGTCACCAAAACGCTGGCCATGGACCAGCCATGGACCAACTGAAGATGTACACCAAATCTTCTGCAGCGTAAAATTCATGCAGCACTTTTTTCCAGCATTGCTTTCCACCACATATCGAACAGAATCCCAATGTTCATGGACAAAATTTTACCTGATGTTCATGGTTTAAATATGTTGAAATCATGGAGAATCCGTCCCAAAACCGTCCCTTAAAATCGTCACGGCCTGCAATTCCGCTGCACGCAGCAGCTCCAACTTCTTCTGGCGCCGTTGAAAGTCGTAGCGTCGCCTCGTGACTTCCACCCAGAATCCTCGGGCGGACATCGCAGGGAAGGATGGACCACACAGGTTTCGAGGTTTCGCGAAGTGGGAACCCAATGGTCACGATCATGGAGAAAAGTGAAGTAAAAATATGGACAAATGATGTTTTTTTTGGTATTTCACCCAATTTTTCCATATATATTTATATATGTATTAATATACTGGGGGTTAAAGGGATGGTCTCGGCAGAACCAACAAACGGAGACAAACGGTCCATGTGAGATTGCCCAAAACCTGGGCTGGTGGTACCAAAGATGTCTCAGAGATTAGCAAAAAAAAAGGGTCAAGATGGGTCAAGATATGATACCCATGGACTCTTGATGAAATCAAGGATACCAGCTTTGGTAGCGATTACTGGGGAGAACCCGCGATTCTTCATCAACCAGGGATTATCCATTGATAGCATCTGTTTTTTCGTGTATTTCATGTATGAATGAAATGCTTGGTCACGCCTTTTAAACCACCTTTGAAAAGCTGATTGGCCTGATGATTTATGATGAATTTCAGTGACAAACACAGGGGACACACAGAAAAGCATCTCAAGATTAGGAAAATCATTGGGGAAAAAACATCAAAATATGACTCTTCTCTGAATGGAGAAAGTGACAAACTGATATCAACTATGAAATTGAAGCATCAACCATCATTACTGATCCAGAACTGAGGTATACTGAGGTTATTTGGGTTTCCAGAATATGTCAAAAAATATGTCAATTTATGTCCAGATATGTTCAACTTCAAATGGTTTACCATCTTCCGGATGTGAAGAAAATATCTCAAAAGAAAACCTCCAAAATTAGATGTCGACCATTTGACCATCTCCAAGCGTCGGTTAAATTCTTCGTTGAGATTCTTGGGCGCCTCCAACGGGGAGTCATCCGAGACTTGGATGTCTGTGCAAAAAAAAATGGAGAAAATGGAGAGGGACCTGACACCGAGAAAGAAAAATTGGAAGTTTTCAAGAAAACGAGGGCCGTAATCCAGTTGAAGCTGGAGACCCCCCAAAAAAAGAACCAGCCTCTGCCAGTAGGGACCCCAGGCCCTGCTTCTGACGCTGAAACTCAGCCTCATCCATCTCCTGATTTTCGAAATCCCAAAGTTGTGGACACCAAATCCACCCTTTCGATGGAGATTGAGGAGGTTTCTTATTTTGGCAATGAACGACGTCGCGGGAGTTAATGTTGCTGCCATTGTTTGTTGAAACATACCAATCTTGACATGTGAAGAACTATCCGACTTTGGGGTGCCTCAGTTCAACCCGTAGTGCTCTACGACTTGAACACTTCCCACACGGATTCTCTATATGAAAACATCAAAATCTTGGTTCATCTTTGATCCGCATAATCCCATGGTTTGTCATCATATTCCATCTGAAAAAATTGCCAATGTGGAGTATACCCGCATTTATTGATGAAAGATATTATAATATATATATATATACATATATATATAATCATATATATACATATATATATACATATATATATACATATATATATATATATACATAATCATATATATATATAGGTAGTCTCTGGTACTTTAGCCCATCCCCCATGAATCCATGACTTTTGGGGTCTTGGATCGTCTCCGAAAAGTGGTCCTCCAGGACCCATTGCAGCTGTCGCTTCCAACATCTTTCGATCCGTGCCCGGACTTCAGGCGCCTCAAACTCCGTCTGGACCTTATCAGAGACGCAGCTGATGATTTTTTAAGGGTGGGGATGGATCAAAACCGAAGTTGCCATACTGGGGGAATAACCATCCAGCACCAGCTATGACTTCGGGATACCGGGTACTGTACCGTTTGCGTACTATGTTTTGGCGGAGCCAGGTGGTTTGACCTTGGAGTGCAAAAAAGAAGTGACGCACTTGCATACCTTGCATGTTGTGCCAGTGAGCCAACGCAAATCCAAACACGATCAAGTTCCCACAATTGGGAACCCCGGCCAGGAGCCGAAGCTTTTGAAAGCGCCTCCCTTCCATGTTGCTCCTTGACCCATAACAGATGCGATTGCCCAATTGATGGCAGAAGATCTTGAAGTTGGGAACTATCAGATGCAGTCCAGAAACACCGAAGACCATGAACTTCCCTTCAAAGCTGGCTGACAAATGATTTCATCACATTGAAAATGACCAAATTTTCAGCAGATATATCAAGTTGTGACCAAGTGTCAACTGCACGATGTAGCCCAATTGTTGCTTGGTGCGCAAATCCTGCAGGGCAATCCAACGGATCCAACAAAGGCCATTTTTTCACCAACCAGTTGGGATCAGCTCCTCGAAAACTTTGGGATTCAGCATCCGCACCAGCAAGGCCGTGAAGACGCTTCCCCTGAGAGTTTCGGCACCGTGGTTGGTGATCCGGAGAAAACATGGATGGAGCTCCAACAAGGTCCCAACATGGCCCTTTTGGGGAACAATCTTGGCTGGAGGATGTTTGGTTGAACTATCAGCAGCCAATATCATTTAAAGTTTTTTCTTGTGGGGGTTGAACCCTCAACCAGTAGGCTTCCGGACATCCAGAGCCAAGGGGCTGTAGGTTTCCTGGCAACTGAAGTTCCATCAGCACGCAATTGTTCCGCTCCTGTCGGGAGAGCTGAGGATGGCTCCGAGGCCGATGAAAAATGATCATCTTCTGTTGGTCATGTCACCAAAAGCAACAGATAGCAAACAGCATAAAACAGGACTGAAAAAGATTGACCCCACCCGAAAAATTGGGCCATGTTGTTGACCAAAAAAAACTGGCAACTTCACGCGCCTCAGGATTGGTGCCAGGAATAATCCACAGGGTCTGGCCCTCAGGAAATTCAGCTTCTTCTGGATCCTGCAGAAAAATTCTGAGGTCCCATTGGTGACATGACCCATCCCCACAACCAGTGGAGCATGAAATCCTCTCTTCTGCTGGGGGAAATGTATACGTTCACGAGTTCAACAAATCAAATCCATCAAAATCCAATCAAAATCCATCAAAAATCCATCAAAATCCATCAAAAATCCATCAAAATCCATCAAAAATTCCCATGCTTTTTGGGTGGCTTCCCCATTTCCAATGGCCAAAATCGTCAAACCTGGCGGCCTCGGGCGCTCGGCCGCCTGGCACCAAGGGCGCCAGGTGCTCGGCCAACTGCTCGGCCTCCGCAGTCCCGGCGTGGCCGGTGACCAACGTCTCGAAGAAGGCGTCCCGAAAGAGCCTTCCATGGCGAAAACGGTCCCACATATGGATGTGGGGATGTGGGGCCCCCAAGATAGCTAAGTTGGTTTATAACTCCAATAACTATGGTTTATGGTACTTATAACTATAGGTAATGGGGTTTATAAACCAACTTATAACTGGGGGGCCCCACATTGTATGGATGTGGGTCAAAATGGAAGACAGGTTATGGGACCACAGATGTGAATGTCTAGTTTAGTATTAACCATCCATAATTTTGGGGTACCTAATTTTGACCCATACCCATATGGGGGACAGTTGGGTTCTCCCGATTTCTAGGGATCATATGGCTAGAGAATCGAAAAGGAATCGAAAAGGCATGTTTCAACAGCTGGGTGGTGAAACCAAACAAATATGGCATCTTGACAAAAGACCTGATATGCAGAACTAGATGTATATTCTGTCTGTAGTGGAGGAAACTTGCCAATAATCCGGGAGATATGTACCAAGCCGCTGATATCTTGTATCCAACTAAGATAGGGATAACTGTCAACGCTGTCGAGATTTATCGATACCCCTCAAACTGTATGATCAATGGGACAGGCGCAAGCAGACTGCCCTAGAAACAAACTAATTGAATCAATGTATCGGATGTCGGAAATAAACATAGATGTGAATATTATATATTGCTCTTTTAAAGTATAGAAGAATAGACTTTATCTCTTTATCTTCAATCTCCTTGAACGTTTCAATTATATATAGGGAAAAGGATTCAAACAGATTGAATCTTGAATCAACGCGTTTCATGTCTCGACATTGAAACGAATGTCATCTCTACCACTGGTACCAGGCTTTTGTTTGTCACGACTGGAACGATCACTGGCGATGAAAAACGGGCGAAAGCTGGGCAAAGGATCTTCCGGATCGTAAATGGCTAGTAACTGGGGTTAGCGCACCCATTTACAAACGGGATATTTCACTGAATCGGGACCAGGTTTATTCACCACTTGGGGGATCAAGTCACCATGGGTCAACCTATACTAAGTCATGATCATCCATGACGACTGGCTGGTTTCGGGTACCATGACTCAACGGAAACCTCCACGATTCGATTGACGATTCGTGGGATTGGATTCCCTGCAGCAGAAGCGTTGCGCTACGCCGCTACGCGTTGCGCGCGACGCCGCTACGCGCGCCTCTGATGCTCACTTTGCACATCTTCCAAGCGCACTTGGTCGATCACCGCAAGCATCTCCTTGCCAACGGCGGGGATCTTCCGCATAAGAAAAAAGGGCTGTACCAAAAAGAACTGGCCCAATTTTGTTTCTTAAATCTTCACTCTTATCATAATATCATAATATCTTAATATCTAGTTATTACCTAGTAATTTGCAAAGCACTGCAAACATGGGCTGAGGTTGAGTCAAATCAAGCCAACGACTCAGATCTATTTTTCATGTGTTCCATATTGGAAGATCTTGTATTGCAAATAGCTAGCTTGAGGTTTCAACTTGAATTTTGGAGGATGACTTTAGGTTCATGGAGTGCTTTATTCCCAAGTTTTTCATGATGCAATATGCAATATATTGTACGTATATATATATATGTATATATGTATATATATATATATGTATATATATATGTATATATATATGTATATATATGTATATATATACATATATATATTGCATATTCCAACTTACATAGATAGATATCTATAAATGTATAAATATATATATATATACTTCACATGTTTACTTCACATGTTCGAATGTATGACATTTACACCTCCAAATGACTATACTGATAAGATCTTAGAAGTATCATAAATCATACTCATATATATATACTATAATATCATAAAGCATGCTTATATTTATATATACACCATAGTTGTTCATAAATAAAATCTTTGAATAACATATAAATAACATATAAATAACATATATATATGTATATATATATCCCAAAAGATAGAGCCCATCTCGCACTCCTCCGTAGAGAAGTGATTCTGTCGTGTGAGCTCCGTGGATTTGCGCAGAGCCAGGTCGCAAGGCCGTTGCTTCAGCGCCACGTTCCGCAGGTGACGTTGGTATCCTGAACGAAGACGGTGATATTTATGGCGGAAACTTGGTGTTTCATAGGTTTCATAGGGTGATTTGAATGATTTGAATGGTGATATTTATGAATTATGGTGATATTTATGGGAAAATGGTTGAAACTGGTGGAAAATGATGAAAACTGGTAAAAACATGCTGGAAAGATTGGTGGAAAAATGGTGGAAAATGATGGTTTATGGAGGATTTCATCAAACATATTACAGTAGGATTTTCAACGGGTGCGTTCACGAGATCATGCATATATAACCATAATATGTGGGAAATGGCCTTTGTTGGTTATTGCTTACCAAGATGTTTGCTTTCAGGGAGGAACAATCCTGTAGATGATAGCTCAACTATGCTCGTCCAGTAGGATCAACAGCTCATGGAAAATGATGGAAAACATCAACTAGACAAGGTATCACAAGGGAGTTTGAAATGTAAGGACACCTGAATTTCAACCGAAAGAATCCGAAAATATTGCGAAGTACCTCTCAAGTGGGCATGTGCGACAGATTCTTCTTTGTACGATCATCCAACTGATTTGGATGAAACCACAATCCACAATGTGGTGGCATTGGACAGTTCCGAGCATTACTCCAGCTGTCAGCCAACTTCGACAAGCATCGATCTAACACGATGTCGAAGCTACTGGAAGAGACGGCCTGCGACAGATCGCAGGGTGAAGAAGAAAGAAAATCTGAGGTTAACCCTGTAAAAATGGATATGTACACACATAGTTATATATATATACATCACACTATTATACTGAGGTTATATAACCCTACTCAAGATCAAAATTCCCGGCCTTTCCCATCCTCGAAACCACTGCCTGCACAGGTAACTGGCCCAGCTGGAACCGGCTGCGACCCCAACAAACCAGTTGGATAGGTTCTAGACTGCAAAATGAACCATGAACCGTCCCCCAAACAGGTCTTAAATGTTCGCTGTTTGATGTTTGAGCACTGCGAAACTCTCCTCTTCCTTCGCCATACATGTAACAAAGCTGAAAACATCATATGCCTTGTTGTGGGCGATTCTTAGTTAGAATTCACCGCCAAATTCAAAGATTTCGCCAGAGATAAATCGTTTTTCTAGCAGAATTGTATATTTCCTATCCATGTGAGGGAAATTTTATTTGGAGGTTTCCTTAAGTGACAGTACCCAAATCATCCAGTCGTCATGGATGACCATGACTTAGTATAGGTTAATCCATGGTGACGACTGGGGATCCCTCATTTTGGGAATACTTTCATATATATATATATATTATAATTATATATAATATATAATACATAATATGTATAATATATATATATACATATTATATATATATATACATATTATATATATATACATATTATATATATATGATTTATATGTATATATATATCCTACCCAAAAAAAAGCCTGAGAAATTCTGGCCTCCAAGAGCACCGGTAACTTGTCACTGAAGCCAGCAACCATCAAAGACATACCTGGCCCCCCCACTTCTCATCGATTTCTTTGGGTGATCCAAAACGGCAATCAAAATCTTCGTGTTTGAATGGGGACAAGTAGAACCATCAGATGGAATGGGATAATCGGATAGCCTATTTTCAATCCTTTCCAAAGGAACTTGAGAATGTGGGGCGGCTATTTCCCAGCAGCCAATGCTGACACCCCAGTATCCCATTCACAGTACAAGAACTCCATACAATATCACCAGTTTTGGCAAAATTCCCAGAATCTTCTCATCCAAATGGCGATTTTCGTCAAAACCTGCTACCCAAACCGTTCCCTAAGTCATAACTGAGTCATAACTGCTTCATGGATGTTTAGTTCCCCAGTCCAAAAGGTACATGGCTAACTTCACCCATCCCCATGACCGGCTTAGCGGCACCTGTTACAGAGGAGTCCAGACTATATGCCAGGCCCGCCTCAAATGAAACTCACCACTGGGACCATCAAAGGGGGATGGGATTTGATGGGCTCATTCTGACTTTTCATATCTGTTCGTGTCTAACATCATGATGTCATGTCATGATGCTAGACATCTTTGAAAAAGATGTCATGTCAGTTCATATCACTGAAAGAAGGTCATAATTTCCCAAAAGCCTCAAGAGTTCTGTGTCTTCCCAGCATTCTCCAGGTCTCCAGAAATCAAAACAAGCCCCACCTGGGACGCATCGTAGGCGAACTCATTCAGTTCCTGGCGTTCACTCTTTCAGGGGATGACTCGATGACTAGATGAGATTGGATGAGATCAAGATCGCAGATCAGATTGGATGGATGATGGAGAGTTGTAGATCTCAGGAAACAGGCAAGCAACTAGTGGATTTGCTCTTTTTCCTAAATTCTAGGCACTAAAAAAGGATTCCAGGAACTGTCAGTTCTTAGGGCAGTTGCACTTGCTGTGTTTTCGTTGTCGCGATACTGGGGCAGCTGCATACTTGGATCAGAGGTACCCCGTTAGATGAGCGAATTAACAGCAACTGATGTTTAAACCCAGTCAGGGGAATCGGGAGTGATCCATCTTCCCCAAATGTGACTTAAATAATCCCCTACTTTTTGGCATCAACAAAAGAAACTACAATGGCTAAAGTCCACCAAGAAAAAAAATATGGTGATTTTATGTAAGTTCCCATTTCAATAGGTAAATCACAATAAATCATCCATCTATACCATAGCGATGTTGGATTACTAGAGGTTATGTTATCTATAACATGTAGGATCATATCAGTATCGTCCCCATCATATCAGTGAAATAAATGTATCCCACTATTGGTTGGGCTAGTAGTATTACAATGATATATATCTATAGATATACAATGATATGAGAAAATAATATAAGATGTATATAATGATATGTTGAAATGATAATGATATGATATACCCTCCGGTAAATTACCATAGACCCTGGCAGATGTCGGGGTTGGAAGATTCGTTTCCACGAAAAAAATTGATGATTTCCAGGGTCTATGTTAATTTACCAGAGGGTAACAGTATTGTAATGATAGATGCATGATATATCCCATTTTTACATATATATATATATATCATTATAGTATCATTATTAATGATAGTATTATATAAATTATCCCAATAATAATAGTAGTATTAATGCTATCATAATATGTTTTTCATTACATGCAAAATTTCCCCATTCGAAGCTTGAGAAAAAATCGTGCCCGTGCCGGACCTCTTCGATGCAGCTGCACCAGATCTGCGGTTGGCTTCGTCAGGTGGGACAAGATTTTTTTCCCAACTGAATAGAAAAATACGAAAGAATCCATGGTTCCAAACCACCAACCAGATTATATGAAAAAAAGAAATGAATAGATATACACTTGTAGAGATCACAGACTGTATGATGTTGAGCAACAATAACAATGACAGACGAATTGGAACCCAGATCACCCAGGTTAGATTGGCAGACATATGAGCATGAATGGAAGTTTGTGTCAAACTCCAGCTGCATTTTGAATCGGCACCACCAATCTCAAACAGTCTGTCGAACATTGCTCAGCTTTGGGCACTTCGGCACTTCGCAACGTGATGAAAACTAATGAAAATGATGATCCAGGAGAATATCCAGGAGAACATTTTTTTGTTAAAAAACACTGTCCGAGGAATCCACCGTCGTCAGAAGATGCCGCAACGCCTCAGGTGTCAAGATCGGCACAGGGTCAAGCGCTTGTCTGAAAAACCAACAAACCCTCATCTCATCATCTTGTTCCATGAAAGTTCCATGAAAGTTCCATGAAATTCGTGACCAACATCGTTTTAAAATTGTTTTAATCCAAAGTCAGCCGGCTTTGTCCCAGCCACGTCTTGGAAGGTTCGCGGGCAATGCACGTTGAAGGCCACCAGAGTCTGCCGTTTAGCGACGGGTGAACTCAGCATATTGGATTTTCAAATGGGTACAAATGAAGGAAATAGGACTTGAACATACTTGAACATACTTGAACACGGCCCACGAAATGATTCTTTACTGCTGGAGCCTCTCCTGAATCCTTGGAAGCACCAAAAATTGGGGTTGCTGTGATTTGGGCACACCCAACCAGTCGATGAGTTCTGTCACAGTGCCATTTATGTGCCATTGATCAAATTCCATAGAAAGCAGCCATCAATTTGGTGTCCACAAAAACCAACGGATCTTCCAGGCTTTTGAAGTTGGATTCTATTGGATTTCACCATCGATCCGATTTTTTTCGCCACCTGGTCCCACCTTGGGCTGCAGGAATCGATCATCCTTTCGATGAAAGATCTGATAGCTGCGCCCTGTTGCGGCGAGCCGTTCCGGCCATGGGGAGCCCGGAATTCCCGGCGGCGAGACCGAGATGTCCTGCATAAAGCGGTGCGGTGGAGGTGATATTCCCAGGATCACCTGAGGGGATATCCTTGATATCTTTGATGATGATGATGATGATGATGATGATGGTTATCAATGGTTATTATATAATGGTTATATAATGGTTATTTATGGCTATTAATGATTATTGATGATGATGATGATGATGATGAGGATGACGATGACGATGACGATGAGGATGATGATGATGATGATGATGATGATGATGATGATGATGATGATGACGATGACGATGACGATGATGATGATGATGATGATGATGATGGTAAAGGGTTATGGTTATGAAAGATACTCGATAGTCCAAAAGATCGGCTTGTTTCCTTGCAAGTCGGATACCTTATGTAATGTTCTTGGGATTCTCAAGCATTTCAGCTGAAGCGCGAGCGCAGTCCGTGTAATACTTTTTGCATCTTGCGAAGCGTTACTTGGCCCATCTTGCAGGCTAACAAGTCAGACTCTTGGAACCTGAATCTGCCTGAATCTGTTAATGCACCGCGATCTGATTGCTGATTTCAACGACCGGAGATTCAGGTTCCATGCTGTACAAAGCGCCAGATGGTTGCCAGATGTCGCCGTGCTGCCCACGCCTCGCTTTCGCTCAGCAGGGATCAGATCCGCCACTTAGGTCATTCGCGACTGGGGCAACAGGCCAACATCAGCATAGACTCTATGTCTACTTGTTGCCCTGAAACAAAGATGGAATCCAGGACCAGGAAATATTCTTCGCGTCAACTTCGTTGACCAAAGTGCAAATATTTTCCGGGAAGCCAAGAACTAAGCAAGATTCCAATGGATAAGCTTGAGAGAAGATTCACAACGTATCAGAAGTTTGCTCTTGTAACATCTGCTCAACACCATATTTGGGAGTTTCAGCTGAAATTCTGGAACCACGAAGAAACTCTTGGTACTATGCTGCCATAGACCATCAATGTGTTTCGGTTCCAAAAACACCCATTTCAACACATCCGGAGGGCGAAGGCGCCGAGGCACAGGCCCTCAAGCGCCGCTACATCATGGCACACACGCTGCTGCCCTTGGACTTCAAGTGGCGCTTCCCACCAGCTTGAGCATTCCGCGGCATCAAATCATCCTGGGAATAGGCCCGGCAATCGGGGACTCCGAAGCAACTCCGGAAGCAAACTGAGCACGAAAATGTTCATCTTGGCCACTTCTTTGGGTTTGAAGTGAAATTTCTGAGGTACCTAAGAGAACAAAATCTAGTTTTGATTTAAAAAAAAAAAATGGAGGGCCAGGAAAAACACCCATCAGCCCACCCAGATTTGGTCCCTAACTCGCAGCCCAAAAACTCGTGAGGCTCCAGCACTTTTGCTCCGAGCCTTTGAGGCTTCAGTTCCAGCATTTTTGACCCGAGCGCGCGCAGCAGCAGCACTGGCAGCACGCTGTTGCGCTTGCTGCTTCACGTGCTTGGAATACTTCCTGTGTCGGTGGTTGAGCAAAACCATTTGACACTATGATGTGGGGATTTTTCTGACCACGATATGATAAAAAAACATCAAGGAAATTGTGAAAATTTGTGAATGTGGGATGCACCACCAATCATTAAGGGTTACCAGCAATGCTACATAACAATTCAAAAGCGGGGATGTCACCAGCAATCAGGCTTTGTCAAAGAGGGGATATCAGTTAAAGAGAGATATCACCTACAGTACACCCGACGGGAATACATATATATATATATGTACATAATATAATATAAAATATTATATCATGTTGTATTATATCATATTATGTTATATTGTCTTATATCATACTAGATTATATTATACTATACTATATGACATTATATTATATTACATCATATTATACTATATATGTACACATATTCATACGTAACATATCTGTCCGTGTATATATGTAACTATAACTACTGTGTTCAATATATATATACACATACATATATGTATGTAGAGAGAGAGAGGGAAGGAGAATTATGTATCATATATAATATACATATTTTGGTGTTTCAACCAAATGTTTGGGTGTTCAACTAAATTGTTTGATCTTTGCAATCAAAACTCTCTGTGCTCTCATCGACACATCCTTGTCGATGGGCTGATGTTGGGTGGAACAAACTCTCAAAAATGAGTGCCCTTTGAGAGTCTGCTCACATATGAAGTCAATATATAAACATCTCACTCCTTCGCCTCTTGAAGGAAAAAGCAGTGGCAATGTGGACTTATGTGGACTTATGGAATCTTATGGACATCTCTAGCCAGAAATCGTGGTCTCATGGGGTCCCCAACCAAGCCGCCCCTTCTTCGCTGCTCAGCACGGCATCGCCACTGTGCGCCCGATGTCACGGAATCTCGGATGGGCTGCTACGCACTCGAGCCGCTGCGTCGAAGATTCAACTTGCTGACAGCAATTCTGAATTTCTAAAAGACCTTGTGATGCCAAAGGGTTCTTGAGAGCCTTTCAAATTTTCAGGCACAACCAATTTCTATTTCACAACCACCTTAAACAGTGGGATCTAGAAATTTTCCATAGTGGCGAAGCAACCAGGACCACCCAACCCCCCCAGACTTTCCGTCCTGCGGCACAAAAACGTTAGGCTTTGGAAGCCGGAGCCCAAATTCCTGATGGCTTCAGTGTCTCGTTAAGGGCAAATGGTCTCTGGGACTGGATAGCTGAAAAATCCTTGAAACCTACGGATGATTGTGAAAGTTGAAAACTAGGAGATTCATCTCAAGTCCAAATTTGGTATGCAAACCATTAACCGTCATAAACCATTCCAGATATGGAATTTAAAACTGGGACCATCATCACAAGTCCAAATGGATTTTGAAACTAGACATCCGAAAATCCGTGAAAGCCAGTTGAGGGGGTTGCAACTGCTGGGTCAATCAGCAAAGAAGTCGAAGCTGACAAGGGCGGGATCCTCCCATGAAACCTAAAAGCAGCATCTTTTCATTATGAGAACTATCAAAAATGGAACGCACTTAATAAATGGCCGGTGTCTATCTATTTTGCCTCATGCTTTGTAGCAGCCCTCTGGCACCACAGAATTGTTACCAAAATCCCAAGTCTTACGCCATGTCTTTGGTCAAATCGGCCCTGAAAACCCACCTGGGCTTTGACGTTCGCAGAGCCAGGAATTTCCACGCGTCGCCAGGCTTCGAGCCAGCTGGCCTGAGTCCAGACCATCCAAACTCGAAACTCTGGATGCTTCCGTCTCCAATCCAGGTAATCTTGGTTCAGGTTGGGATTCCCCCCACATTTTCTCCAAAAAATTGGAGAATCCCCGAACCAGGCTGTGAACAGCCCAGAGCGATCTCTCAGCCTCCAGTGGAGCTCGATAATACTTCCCACCATACCATGGATCCTGCCACAAAAAATCACAAACGCAGCCCGGCAAAAAAGGCGCAGAACTACCTGAGCCGCATCGAAACCGTCCTTTTTGGTGCATCGATCTTCGAACTTTTTCGAAACCTCGGACGTTGTCTCGAGGGAATCATCTCAACTTGACATGTGGGCTAAGGATGACACAAAGAAAAATATGGTGTTGGGAATCCCGTTGGGAACTTGCAGGAGAAGGAAAAAAACTGAAAAAAAAAATATTATATATGATTATATGTTATATGTTGATCTGTGCAAATTTTCCCATTTGGGAGTGCATGATCTTGACGCGGCAGCAAAAACCCTTGTCACAGCGATTTCCGCTGGGATACCCGACCAATTCCACACGAACTTGATCTACCTCAGGGTCAGGGCGGGATCGGATGGATTGGATGGATTGGATCCACCAGCTTTTTCCAGCACCAATTGGGCGGGCGAAACTGGGCCACCCTGCAGTCAGGTGTTGAAGATAGTCCACCACTTTGACCGGATCAGGTTCCGGAAGTAAAATGGGTCCAGATAGCACCTGGCGCAACGCTAGAGCCCAGTAGAACTGAGACGTCTTGTTTTTTTCTTGTCTTTCCAGTGTGGCTATAAACCAAGAGTATCCAAGACCCTCTGCATTACAGAAATGGCTTTTGAAAAGTTAGGTTGAAACAGTGAAACTCCCTTAAAAATGTCATGCTTGATCATCATATTCCCCATTTTATTATGCATAAATGGCCATCTATTGGAAGTATCCACCTGAAGGTTCCACGGTTTGCCAGGCCTGCACTCTCCTGGTTCCAACAGAAATGCCTTGATGAATTTATGGTTTCTATATCATAACTATAAGTACCTATATTCTATATAGTTACATGATAACACTCAGTCATAGTCCTTAAGTATGGTTAACTATTAGCAGTATATAGGTTATTAACTAAGTCTATGATATAACTATGACTATGACTGATGCTTAATAGTCATGTTTGTAAGATTATCAAATATAACAGTACAGTTTGTAGTAACCCCCAGTTAAAATAGAAGTTCTTAAATTCCTACTCAAAACAGAGACGCATCATTTTAAAAAAATGTCTATCATTGCCTATCTATGGGGGTTACTATCTTAGTTGAAACCCTATGTTTGAAACCCTATAAGCTTCTTCCCTATGGCTTCCTATGGAAAAAGCGAAAAAGCTGCCACCTCTTCCGCTGGATACTTCTGGAGATTCTCCGCCAGGCGCACCACCAGGCCATAAGGCCTTGGACGTCGAAAGATGGCGTCGAAATGGAAGGATGGACACGTTAAAGGAGAAATGATGGACAGTCCATTTACCCTCTGGTTATTTAACATAGCTATTGAAAATGGCCATTAATAGTGGATTTTCCCATTAAAAATGGTGATTTTCCATAGCTATGTTAAATTACCAGAGGGTAAGCATCAGAAATGATGATTGAAGCGTTAAAAAGTAGGGATGAAACATGATTTTACCAATGAACCATGAAGATCGTGGGCAAAGCTGGAGATTGAAACCCACAAAACTTGTTGATCTAGGCAGAATAAACATAGGGGAAAACCTCAAGAAGAGTGTGTTTTGGTTGGTGCAACTAATGCGCAAACAAGTGCATGCCATTGAGGGATTGCAGTCAGCAGGATTGGCAGTGCAGTGGCACTTCCACTGCCAGCTTATCCCATCCTCGTAGGGAATCTGGACATTTCAGTGATTGAAAATGCCTGAGACCCCAGAATGCATGTACTAAAAGTACTAAAAGTACTAAACCTGGGATCAGTTCTTGGATAAACCATGATAAACCCATCTGTGCCGTCATATCAAGTTACCAGGGGGATTCCTATGATTTTATGGTCATCCATCCCGTTTCCATGGGGAATCCAGTTTCATGAGATCAAAATCCCCATGAGAATAAATTGATATCCATCCTTGGATGAACTAGATGAATCCAACCCAACAAACTTGACCGTGGCACATATGGCACATTTTTTTTCTGGAATAACAAGAATCATGAATGCTTTGATCATCACACCGTTGCATCGTCCCCCATCATTGAATCATAACATACTGTGCTATCATTCATCATACTGTCATAAATTTATATCATATCCCCTCCGGTGTCATCGTTGCCGTGGTTTCCAAAATCCACCATGAATAGTTCGATGATAGCTGGGTCAACCGGGCTGTTGGTCATCCGCGAAACGGAATTTCACCTCCTTCAGCTGCCGGAGTTCCTGGAAACGAAACGAAAAGAAGGGGATGTCCAATCTCAGAAGTTCGAATTGGGGGATGGTTTAAATCTGGTTTATGGACTTTGGGGTTTACCAAAAAATCACTTGGGATATGTAGTTACAAATAGCTTTGGCATGCTACCAACCCAAAATCTGTTTTTTTTGTAGGATTTTCATCCACTTTTGAATGGAAGATGTCACCAACGATTTGTGGAAGGATATTGGCCAGCAAGAATTTAGGATGTTCATCACATATCCAACCAACAAAATGTTATATCAACCCAAAAATTGACCAAAGAAAAGGGATATCAACCAATAACAAACTATGGCTTTCTCTGGAGAAGGAATGCTTCCGAATTCGTTTTTGGAGATGGCTACTGTTGAGAACTCTTTCGCAACTTCAATCCTTGCGATTCCAAGACGGTGACCACCGGACCTGTGGTAACCCACAATACAAATATGGGGGGTTCCAATTTATGGGGGGTACCCCCATTTATGGATGGTTTTTTTTTTGGGAAAATCCCAGTCACAAAAATCAATGGATGATAATCCCCATTGACCCCACCTGTAGCATCCAGTCAGACACGGGAGAGCTGCGCAGCAACGCAATCGTCGTAAAGAGCCTGGTGACTTTTTTGTTCAGTTCATCCCAGAAAAAAAACCCGGAAAATCTTCACCGGACCTATGAAAAATGGGAAAATCTTCAGAAAATGCCGATGATTTCCGGTGAAGAAAAATTCCCCAAAACACCAATCCATTCACTTGTTTTGAGCAGCTCAAGAGCGCTCTGCGACGTGTCGGGATTTGTGGTCTGTGCCTGGGTGAACATGATACTACACTTGATCATAGCCTATACATGTCCCACACATTTCACTCCGGTCGTCTTCCGGAGAGCGAAGCCGTTGACTCACCCGAAGCAGTCCTTGCATTTCTTCAGTTCCACTCGGGGTCTGTCTTCTGTACCATGCTTCAAGTGGTTGCATGAGGACTCATGATAGCAGCTACCGCTACGCGTCATGAAGACCTTTGGCGGAGCTTTGGCGTTTGCCAGCTGTTGCCTCAGGCTCATGATTTCATGACCGTATTGGTCCTTCAGCTCTTTGAGCCGGTCACAATCACTCTCAGCCTTCGCCAGCTTCCTCTTGAGGTCGTCCACCTCCTCGGTCATGGGCTGCTGGAACAGCGCTTGTGAGTCGCGCTGTCGCTTTTCACGCTCCTCTTTCTCCTTCGCCTTGTCTTGCAGAAAGGCGATGTGCCTCGCAGATGAAGCCACCACAGTCTTCTGGGTCTGGAAGTCTTCCATCAGCTTGTCGTGCTTCTCGCGCAACTCCTCATACCTTTCATGGTACTCGTTGCGCTCGGAGAGAAACTGCTGTCTCTGGTCGAGCATCTCATCCAGCCGACTCGCGTAGTTGTCGCGATCATGTCTGGTGTCTTCCAGGTCTCTCTTGAAGCGTGCCAAATCTTGGCAGACCTTCTCTGAGTAGTCTTCCCAGCTCTTTGCCTCGGTGAACTTCTCCTCGTACTGTTCCTTGAAGCCATCTGCAGCGTCTTGCTTGATTCTGGCTGTCACTTGGAGCTCGTCATTCTCGATCTCCAGCTTGCGAACTCGTTTACGAAGAACTCGGTAGTGTTGTGCCAAGTCGTCCTCGTCGACCTCCATCAAAGTTGACGGATCATCCACATCCATCGGCTGATCTTCATCTTCTGGTTCTGACTTCACCACGAACTTCTTGTTGTGGGTCTCCGTCGCCTTCTTGGTGATGTAGCTGATCATCTTGTCCAGGTTGATCGCGATGAGCACGGTGACAAAGATCATGATGTAGACGCCAGCATAGCTCTTGTCCTGAACCTTCTCGTTGTTCTGGATGTAGCGCCCCTCGGTCTCGTCATACTCAATGTCATAGGCCACCGCAGCGCTCATCATCGTCGAAGCCAGTAGCGTCTTCATAGTGAAGCTTCCAGTCGCCACCATGCCCAGCAGAATGCTCGCATGTCCGATGCGGACATTGTCTGGGTTCCTCTTCACATCCTCCAGGATCTCGTCGTCGGTCTTGATGATGTCGTGCTCGGAGTACTCCTGCAGTGTTGGCAAAATCCGTGCAGTGACCGGATGGTTGTCCACATTGTGAAAGCTCACCACGCCGGCTGTCATCACCTCCAGCAAGTTCTTGTGCACCAGTGGTTTGGTCAGTGCATCGCTGGTCATGCATTCTGTTGGAACCAGCACGATCTGCCGCATCTTGCCATTCAGTCTGGCCTCCTTGATGCCGAGCACATAGAGGCGTTGTCCCTTGTCTTGTGGCAAGGTTCTCAATCCTGTCACCAGTTCCCATAGGTCTTTGCAGTCGCCGTAGAAGTCGATCGGCAGGTCAGGGTTGCCACTCTCCTGGATGGAGATCAGCTGCTTCAGGCTCGGGCTCCTGTCCACGTGGTAGATCTCGGAGAGCCTGATCATGATGAGGGTCGAGGCTTCAAGACCTCCAACCATTGACAGAGTCTCAGCATGACTCGTTGAGTAGCTCACCCTTTTGGCTTTGCCACCAGATGCATGTAGCACGTGGAAGATGCCGTTGTGCTCCTTGACGTTGTAGTCATCGAAGACAGTCTCATGGTTCATGGTCTTGTCGCGGAAAGCATCATCCGACAGACCAATCAGAACTCCTTCTTGGGCATAATGTCGGCCTTTGCTGGCCGAGGATGCATCATGGATGCACATCAGTCGCTGATGTTGCCCCTTGAAGTGACAGTAGTAGAGGCCTGTCTCCTTGAACTCATTGACCTTGTCCAAGATCTGGTTCGCCTGCTTGAGGTCCTTGACTTCCGCCACCGTGACACGGCTTGGAAGTATGGACAGATCAGCAATGATGTCCAGCCGCGTTGCTGAAAGCCATAGAAGAGCTCCAAGAATCGACCGTAGGTCTGATGTCTCCTCCTTGGTGAGTCTTTCTTCATCTCCTCGTTTGGGAATTGGAGCCGGCTTCAGCTTCTCGGTAAATTCTTGCTGACTGATCTTGTAGCCGTTCTTCACCTTGGTGTACTCACAGCCGCAGTGGGTGAATGGCAGCTGTTGGCGGGTCACGCGCCCAAAACGCTTGACAAAGGCGTTGTACATGTTTGTCATCCATTTGATGGGAGCAGTGAGGGCGATGTCATCGACGTGCGTCGTTGCAGCAGCAACCAAACGTCCATCTTCTTTCCATGAAAACCAGTTCTCACCAAGTTGAGATCGCTCCCCACCAGTGCTCTTGACAAACTGATGCAGGCAAAGTTGCCAGGCCAATGGAGCATCGTTGAGGCCGTACACCGGTTTCACGCAGATCAGCCCATAGTTGTGTTCTTGTCCTTCTGCAATGGCAAAGTCGGGGCTGAGCTCTGCAAGGTGTCGGAACACATTCATTGGTGGGAACACCACAACCACCCTTGTTGGGGCATGAATGCCAAGTTCTTTCAATGCCTTCTGGATCTCTTGAAAGGTAAAGCCCTTGAGAAAAGCACCTGCCACGTCCAGAGACTCCAAAGTGCGTTCTGGTACGCATGCGGCTTGGCTGACAAGCATGCGCTGACTCAACCTTGTTGCCGTAGTGGATCTTGTGGTCAGCTGGTCCTTCTGGCTGTCCAGGAAGCCCCTCGCACAAAGTCTCGATTTGATCTTGTAGGTGCGATCAGGGTTCCTCTTCCACTTTCGGACCCATCGTGCATCGATGGTCACCATGTCAGAGGTGATTTGTGACCGGTGGATCTTCTTGAAGGCCTTTTCGTCAATGAACTGCTTGAGCTCATCACGGTCGGCAGCGTCGACCTTCTTCCAGATGTCTGGAGTGATGTCTTCCTCGTTGATGTTCTGGGTTTCTTCGTCCACCTTGAAGATCTTGGCTGTGCGCAGGCATGCGCTGGCAGTGTGGTGCTTCTTGTACTGGATGTTGAACAGCACTGGTAGTTGAGCTCGTTCACGTTCGTAGTGGTGAAGGAGGAAGTTCCTTGTGGTCACCGTCATGATGTCATAGCCGTACCTCCAGTCTTCGGCATAGTCGTAGATGACCAACTGCTTCCTTGAGCTTTCAAGATACCAGTGCCTCAGAAACTCCAGCTCCTTCCTCACAAGGCATGTTTTCTGCTTCTTTCTTTCCGGTGCTATCACCACCGTTCTGGAGTCTGGTCCTTCTCTTTTCTTGTTCTCCTTGTCCACATCCATAGAGGCCGCTGGCTGTTGACCATCGTCATTCAGCTTCATTGAGGGAGGCTGCTTCTGCTTCTCTTCAGTGGCGTTCTCGCCTTCAATGATGGGGTTGTAGTAGTAGAAGTAGATAATGCAGATCTCCTCCTTGGCATAGGTGCTGAACTTCTTTGCCTTGAGATGGTTCGCATTGTGGCACTCTTGGATGGAGAAATTGGCACCGCCTCGAAGCCAAACAACCAACGTTCCAGTGGTGTTGTGAGGAGGCTTGAAGGTCTTGAGAGACTTGCCCATCATGATGCCGTGGAGTGTTGCCTTTCTCATCGATGTTGAAACTGCAGTTGCCCATGCCATCACCTGCTTGATGTGGTAGTCATCCTTGGGCAACTTCACCCATGCGCCATTACGTCGTTGGAGCCATCCATAGGTGTAGATCTTGTAGTCCACCAAGCTCTCGACATAGCGCATCAGCCTGTTCAGTGCTGTCTGGGTGTCCTCACTTGGAAAGGCAACGTGGAAGATTCCACGGTAGGGGCGTATGTGCCGAAGTGCCACCAAGTATGGCTTGCCCTGGTACTGGATCACCGCAGTGCCTTCATCAGCATCTAATCTCAAGAGCAATGCCGGACCACGCCAACCTGGATCTCCTTGAACTTCACGACAAAACTCAATCTCGGAGGTGCCAGGTATTAGCTCGTCCAAAGCCAACTGGTGTGGTCTCGTTCTGCTTGCTCGGGCAACTCTGTCCTCAATGATGGCTTGTTGAGTCTGAGCAAGTGCTGTCTGGCGGATGCGGATGGCCTTCTCAAAGGGCGTCACGTCCGTCTCTGTTGAGCCAGATGAAGTCAAAATGCCAGCACTGTCGATCTCATAGAAGCCACGAGGAAGGATGTCATAGAAGCCACGAGGAAGGATGCCGTAGACGGCCATGCTGGGTGTCACACCCTTGTAGTTCAAGGTGATGTTGTGCGCCATAGCGCGTTCTCGGCAGAGATCTTGTGGTTCATGAACTAGTCCTTGTCGGCTGAGCTCTGCCTTCAGCTTGTACATGGACAGCTTGAGCAGTTGGATGTGCCTCTCGACCAATCCAGTGCCTGTGTGCTGCTCTGCACCTTGTCCAGCTGTGGTGCCTTTTGGGCATCTTTCCATGCCAAGGCGCTCAAACTCTGCACCTGTCTCGTGTGACATCAGGCTCATCTGCTGATCCATGGTCACTTTCCCAGGTGGGCCAAACATGTGGATCCAGTTTCGTAGAAGGCAGTTGAGAAGATGTTCAGCATCTTGTCCTTCTATAACATCACAGAGCTTGAAGCGTGTTGCTTCGTCAACCATGATCATGTGCCAAAGGTCGTCGAACTTGAAGAGGTCAATCTGGATGACGTCATTGAAGTGGGTGATGCATCTGGAGCGCAGCTGTGGTCGATTTGGAAGTCGGATGTACTTCCGACATATCGGGCAAGACAGCACCGATTCTCTGGCCAAGTTGATCACCTCAGTGGGTTGGCCAGCACGGCGCAGCAGGCTTTCAAAATCAGCTATTGGCGTGTGCCAGAGACGTTCATGTAGTCCAAGAAGTAGCTGCTTTGCCTTGGTGATGTCGCCGTTTTCCACCAGCTTTGGAAGACGCTCCAGAACTCGTCTCAAGTTGTAGTTGGGCTTGATAGGAGCTAACTCCTTTCTGTCCTGAACCGCAAACTCCTCTTCCTCGTAGATCGCATCCTCAATGGCTGGGACTCCAGAGTCTTCGGGTTTCTCCTGGATTCGTGCAAGAACTTCAGCATCATCTTGTCGTGGTGGAAGTCCAGGTTGAGGAGGAATCTTGCGAGGTCTTGATGATGGAGTTGATGGTGCAGGTACTGCTCCAACTTCTTGTCCATAGATCGTCACCATCCAGTTCTCCTCGTCAATGGCTTCGTTGATCTGGTTGACACTCATCTCCCGCATGTCTTCGACGGGTTGGATGGTCCAGTGCTTCACATGGCCCGTGATGTGGATTCTCAGGTAGGCGGTTGATGATGCCACTCTTGGATTTGATGGAGTCTTGTTGAACGGCCGTAGTTCCACCTTAACAGCCTTCACCTGCATGTGCTCCTGGAAGATCTCATTGTAGAGTGCCATCGTCACCGCGTTCTCAATCCAGTGGACGTAGTCGACTTGTCGTTGTGCAGCTTCACCAAAGAGTCCAAGGGCATTGTGCACCGTCTCCATCAGTAGTCTTTTGATGTAGTGGGATGCTGAGACAGTGAGTTCTTGGCCAGTGTTGTTGTCCACAATGACTTGCTCGTAGGACTCCTTGTTGGCACTATCCTTCCATCGTTTCATGGGGTCCTTGTCCTCAAGCTTCTGAAGTCGTGGATTGGTGCCCGCTGCATACTTGCCATGTCGACATTGTCCAGGAATCATTGAGTGCTCAATGTCCTTGGGGCATGCTCGCCCAAGTGTGCACCGCACACATTCATAGAAGCTTGGAGATGTGAACCAGCACAGGTCCTGTGGCCAGAGCTTGATCTTGAGAAGGTTCTTCTTCTGAAGGAAGTTGATGATGTCCTGTTTCATCCGTTGGCACATGGTCTTTGGATAGACGGCTGCCATCGCTGTTCGGGAGAGCCCATTGGGTGCTTGTCCTTGAAGATGTGAGTGGGTCTTCCCACGATGTCCAGAGCATCGCAGTGCCGTCTTGACCAGCTTGAAGTTGGCACCAAAGCCTGTGGCCTTCTGGATGAACATGTCCTTCTCATCTCTGAGGTCGTGCATGCATTGGTCACATCTCTGCTTCGCTCTGTTTTCTGGGATCTTGTCAAGTCGCAGTGGTGACTCATTGTCATCTCTCCACATAGCTGATCCCCATGGCTGCTCCACCAAGTAGCCGCGATCATGACGACTTTGATCTTCACATGATTGTTGAACCCAAGCAATGGATGGTTGTTCTTGAAGTCGCTCACAATGCTTGGTCTCAGGGTCCTTGGTGTTGGCAGAGACTGACCATGGTCCACAATCTGGAGAGTGATGGATGACACCAGGTTGGAATTCTTGACGTGCCATGTCAGTTGGTGGTCGCTGTTGCGAAGGTTCCAACCATATCGTGCATCCACTGGAAATCCAATCACCAGGCCGGCCAGGAGCAAGGTGAGGGATAGTCTTCCACTGCCGCTGCAAACTTCCCAGAAGTGCCATTTGAGACCACGTCCTTTGGCTCGAGAAAACCATTTCTGGAAGTTGTTGGGTGTGATTGGCCTGATTTGGAGTAGTACTCCTCTGGGATGGCGCGATAGCGCTTTCGGAGCTTTGCCTGGTCCATGTCATTCGGCAGGATGTCCTCCTTGTACTGCGGAAAGTCATCCTCGGAGTGAAACTGTTGAAATCCCTTCTCAAAAGTGTCGCAGGGCTTAGTCAGCTCCTTGTCGTTCTGTACGTGGTGCTCCAACTGAGCACTGGGCGCATCCGCGCCAGGCAAAATGCCTTGATGTGAAACATGTTCATAGTTGCTGTGCTTGGCGCCGTTCTTTTCCTGCTCATTCTCTTTCCGCTCATCAGTGTTGCCATCAGCTGCATCGGAAGTTGAAGTAGAGGATGTCTGCAGCGGAGTGTCATTCTTGTTGTTCTCTGTTGCAGTGGTGCATGACTTCTCTTGTTCACCCCGGTCGCCTTCCGTCTGAGCAGGCCGTGATGAAAGGAAGCAATGCTTCATTCTTGGGCAGACATCTTGCCATAGCTGAGTGGCTTGGGTTGCTACCTTGTTGAAGAACGCCGTCACATCCTGCTTGATGCCATCGCGCAACTTGTGCTTGGTCGGCTCATCTGTCGGCAACAGGTAGTGGCCTGACTCCGTCAGCAAAAGCCGGAAGAGCTTGACCTTGGAAATCTCCTGGTCGTTGTGGTTGTCGGCATCCATGTCGACGGTGAGCAATCCATCACCATCTTCAAAGTAGTTGCAAAAGATGACACTGCTCATGCGTCGCAGCGAAGGGTTGCCAATGAGAGCAGGGCACAGGCTGCCTTCACCTCCAAGAACTTCTCCTGTGAAGGAAATGCTTTGGCCATTCGTGACCAGTGGACTTGTCACCTGGCCCAAAGTCCTGTCAGACATGCCAGAAATTCCACTGACTGGCGAAGTCTTGTCCTTCTTGATCTCCACCTGATCTGCAAGGCCGTAGGGCTCCACGCAGTTGTTGAGAAGCTCCCTGAGGGTTTCAGACCCTATAAGTCCGGAGGCAGCTCCAGGATCCACAATCAATCCCTGTCTCTTCTGGCCACGAACCACAAAGTACTCGTGGGTGTCGTAGAAGCTCGAGACAAAGGAGAAAGCAGTGGCATGCTTCTTGTCCTTCTTCTCCTTCTTGTCGTCCTCCGCCAACTCATCACTGGTAGAGCTCGATCTGGTGCGCTCCACACGTCCAAGCTTGATGATCTCCTCGTCCTCTGAAAGCCCATGGATGCTGTACTCCTTTGGAGAGTTGCCAGGCTTTGGAAGTGAGGTGTTTGAGTTGGGAACTCCTGCACCAATGTCAAGCCCTTTTGAAGTGTCCTTCTTGTAGGTCTCTCCATAGCCGTTGAAGTTGGTGGAGGTAGTTGCACTCGATGACGATGCATACCATGATCGCTTTCCATAGCCCTTGCCTTTCGAGCTCTTGCCCTTCTTGCCTTTTCCCTTGTAGTATGGACGCCAGCCCCAGGAGCCTTTTGACTTGCCGCCATAGCTCTTTCCTTTGCCTTTGCCCTTGTAGCCTTTTCCCTTCTGGTAGTTGTTCTTGCCTTTGCCGCCACCATTGCCGTCTCGTGCAAGAGGACAATCTCTCACCTGATGCCATTTTGATCCACAGTTGAAGCATCCGTCATTGTCCTTGCCTTTGCCCTTGTAGTAGGCTGCATCATCCTCGTTCTTCTCCTCGTTCTTGTCGGTGGTTGGCATCTGTGGCACCTCTTCGTTGGAGGCTTCCCCATAGTCCTCATACCATTGGTCATCCTCGTAGCAGTCATACCAGATGCCAGCTGAGTCATCATAGTCGTACCAGCCATCGTCAGCATCATAGTACTGCCACCAGCCATCATCATCATCGTGGTCGCCGTACCAATAGTCCAGGTCGTAGTTCTCCTCCTCGTTGTTGTCGCCATAGAAGATCTCCGTGGTGTCGTCATTGCGATTGGGGCTGAGTCTCAGGGCCAGTGCACGAGCTTCTTGAAAGCGCGTGTAGTCGCCCCCAATCTGCAGCTTGATGTCGTCCACGGTCTTTGCACTCAAGCCGCTGTGCTTGAAGAAGAGGAAGAATCTTCCGACCTCGTTCAACTGAAGGCCAGCGCGATCGCTCGCCTCATCCAGTCTGGACTCGAACTCGACGCTGTACTCGGCCAAGGTCATCTTGTTCCTGGAGATGTTGAAGAACTTCTCAAAAGCCTGAGTCGCCAAGTCTTGGTCCTGTTGACCGAATGCGGCCTTCAATGCCGAGGTCAGGTACTGGACACCTGATGGGATGTGGCTTTGTATGATGTTGCCGCTCTGAGGATCTCTGACCTCGTCAACGCTCAAGCGAGCGAGAGCAGCATCGCCGGTGTCGAAGCCACCGTCTGGTCGAGGTACCCGTAGGTTCAGGGCTATCTTTGCAGCGCGGCCGTAAAGTCTGCCTGCAATGAGAGGCCCAATGATCTCGTCATCCAAATTGCAGATGCGGTACCAGAGCTTCAACTTGTCGAAGTAGAGGCGCAATGGGTAGGCGGAGTCCCCTGGAGTCCACCCTGGAGGGATGTCTCTCCTGAACTCCTGAAGAGGGATGGATCCCGTCGTAGGTGGGCTGGTCATCGTGCCGTCGCCCTTGTCAGAGAGGACCACCAGGAGGTACACAGAGACCAGGCCAGCCAAGTCAAAGGCAAAGTGGACGGTCAGGAGGTACGCAGGGAAGGCCAAGGTGTTGTCGGCGAAGTCCAGGTAGTCCACCACAAAGCCCAAAAGCCAATGGTCAGCAGACCAACCAGGAAGGTGCCGAAGGAGCCAGCAAGGATGTAGCAGCGCCCAGCTGGTAGGTGAAGTTGTCCTGGATCGCGAGCTCCCCAGGCGCAACGCCCCGCGTGCGAGGCAGCCTCACAGAGGCGGCAGCCAGCAAGCAAGGCGCGATGCCTAAGGTAGGGAGCCCCCCGGAGGAGGCTCCGCTACCAAACTTGTTTTGAGCAGCTCAAGAGCGCTCTGCGACGTGTCGGGATTTGTGGTCTGTGCCTGGGTGAACATGATACTACACTTGATCATAGCCTATACATGTCCCACACATTTCACTCATTCAATGTCTGGTTCATGGTGAGTTCATGGTTTCCTTGATGTGAATGGTTGATCAGTGAATGGCTAGTTGATCCTACGACATGCTTTTGTGAATCCCATCATCATGTTCTCATGGGCCTAACTGTCCATTCACAAACCTTAACATGCCAGTAACGAAAAATTGGAAACTGGTAAAGTGACTTTATCATTGGGAAAATATCACCTGGCCTTTTTTTGATGATTTAGTCTTGGATCTGGACATGGCTGGGTTCCATGCGAGCATTTCTGGGCGTCTCAGATCCCGAATCCATCCAAATCCAGTGCTTAATCGTCAATGGTTCCCAGAAAAAAATGACCTTAGAGTAGGAGTATGCTGCATGTTCGGACAAACCCATTTTCACCACTTGAAAGGGATCGGAAGCCGTGTTCTTTCTGGGAAGTGAAGCTCGTTTCACCCGGTGCCGCGAACAAAATGCCAGCTCTATATAATATATATATATAATTATAGATATATACATATGTTTGGTAGATGTTTTTCTGAGGTAAAAAAAAAATGAGCTGTGGCTTTTTTGATCTGCTGGTTTCTTTGACGGCTTCCAGGACTTGTCGGGATGTGCCTCCGGCCAATCTCTTCCACTTGCTCTAAGCCCTGGCCCCCATCCACCAACTTGGAAGCTGGGAGAAAGAACCACTTCGAGTGTCCAACAGACCATTTTCCTGAGGTTTTTGAGGCTTTTGTTGAAGTTTTCTTTTAATTTCGGCAAAGAAGTCGTCGGTTGTCGCTCTCTTTGGGGAATCCTATGCGATTCTCATCCTGATCCAATGCATCACAGTGGGCCCCAGCTGCCTGGTCAGTGAGGGAAATGCTGACCTGCCAACGGGGAATCGCAGGGCTCTAAACCCTTCAAACGTCAGCTACAACAGCTACCTGGTTGAAACCTTCACATCTTTAAAAAAAAACATCAAACTGCATATATCGATTGGGATGTTCACCCCCTTCCAATTTCTGGATGAACAGGCCAATTGGTCTCAAGTTTGGTCAAAAATGGTGGGATCTTTGCATGGCAATTTGAGCTTTGACCAAATTTTGGGATGATTTCATATTTCATGGCCAAAAAATTCGGAGGTTTCAAGCAAACCTCGACTGTTTTCACCAAATTTCCTGGCTCCCCCTCTCTGTTGGGGTCGTTTCCAGCCTGAAATTGCGAAAAGGTGCCAAAGTCCGCCTCCCCAGCACTCAAGGCCGTGGCCCAGCCAGCCGCCTGTGGGCTTCGATTGGGGGATTGATTAGAGACCTGGATCATGGACTAGAAAACGGCATCTTGGAAATGTTTGAAAAAATGCTACATTCAAACAGCAAGTTGAAGGGCACCAATCAGAGTGGGGAACTCTGTAGGGCCCGTGGACGGGTCGCGGGTGGCTTGGGCAGCTTATGCACGCATAGGCCCCCAAACAAGTTCCCCCTTGTGCCACCAGTGGGCCAGAGCGGCGGAAATAAAAATAAGAATAAATGGGATCCCAAAGAGGCCTTCGTCGTAGAAATACCGGATACTAGCGGGAGGCCATCTGATCACCCAACAAACAACCAGGTCAGAAACTTCCAGAGGGAGGGCATGGGCAGCATGGAAGCTGTCCTTAGAACTAGCGTTCGCCTATGGCCCTCCGTTGTGGTCATTTCAAATAAATTTAAACTGACAAAAATGACTAAAGAAGAGTTTCGGATTCCAGTGAAGATGTCGACACAGCGAACATAAAATTGATCCGACGCTGTTAAACCCTGTGTGAGTTCTCCGTCTCTGCCACCAGAGCCACTTCACCATTGGTTCATTCCCCAAGATCATGAGGAAAACATGGGAAAACAGTGATCCCCAAAATGTTCATGGCAAAATCTGCATGGCCGTATACCCACCTTCAGCGCCGAGAGCAAGGACCCCGGCCCCTCGTGGCCCAGGATGTGAGAGGCGTAGTTGCTGGGTTTGGACCTGGTTTTTTGGGTCAGGAAAGGGGATGAAAACCTGTGGAAAATCGGGGAAAATGGTGGGAAATTGGTGGAACAACGGCGGAATATGATGGTTTGTGGAGGACTTCACCAACAATAAATATTTTATGTGGTGGGTATAATGTGGGGATATAATATATATATATATATACGACATAGCGTATGATACACTTTATCTATGATGGATGTATGGTGGGTTACGAAGGATCACTGGTTTATATCTAATCTTTATGGTGGATATAGTGGATATAACAAATGGGATCTATTCTAGAATGATCCATGGTTTATGGAGGATTGAACCAACAATAAATAGGAGATTTAATGGGTGAATAATGGAAATACAATGGATCCAGGTCGAGTCATATGGCACCTGTTGATTCCAAGAGTCTGATGTCCGAACTACGGTGCGAATCTCCTGTTTCCAGGGCCCCCAACTTCCAGAATGGCACCTGGAGATAGTCAAAATCACCGGAAACCAGGCCGCGGCAGATGTTCCCAGCAATTCTTTGGGAACATTCGATGTTTACATCGGGCAAGTTCATTGGCGGTCAACAGATTCTTCTGTTCCTTCCAGTTTTTCGGTGATCAACAGATTGTCTTTCGGTTGAAAATGGCCATGTTTTTGCTGATCAACCCCATAGAGCCACCCATGGCACCCCATGGCGCCTGCCACTGCGGCAACTGCCAGGAAAAGGTCACCTGGCGATAGTCCTTCGAAGGAACTCGCCAACAGGCACCAACAAAGTCCTGCCATGACACTGCCATGCCATGATCTCAATGAATTAGTTGGGAAAATCCACCGTTTTACTTCGTTTTACCATGGTTTACCATGCCCCAAATGGACTGCAGTTCTTCAGATTTTCCCTGAGACGTCTGGGAACCTCTGTGTGACAGAATCCTGGCAGTTTTCATTTAAATTTTTACACTCCGCAGGGCGGAGGGTGACTCAAGAGTCAGGTGTGGTGTTTCATGTCCCATGATGTCCCATGATGTCCCATGATGTCCCATGATGTCCCATGACCTAAGAAAATTGGAGGAAACAAAAGCTCGAACAACATCTATTCCAGCAAGGCTAGCAGAAATATGCACAGAATCAAGGGTAAAGCATGGATATTCACCACCAAGTAGAAATACCAGTAGTACCGCACAAGGCGGCGGCGGAAGTTTCAAAAATAGGAAACCTATAGGAGAGGCTGTTTGTTGTGAATCAGGAATGGCAGAGCGAAGCCACTGATGGAGCGAAAGGTGATTGATCTCTCTCACTATTTCTCTCTCTTTCTCTGACTATCTACCTACCTACCTACCTACCTATCTATCTATCTATCTCTCCTCTCTCTCTCTCTCCCTCTCTCTTTCATCTAATTGCCTATCTATCTATCCTCTCTATCTATCTACCTATCCATCTATCTATCTAACTATCTATCTATCTATCTATCTATCTATCTATCTCTCTCTCTCTTTCATCTGTCTATCTGTCTAGCTGTCTACCTTTCTGGTCTATCTATCTATCTATCTATCTAATCTATCTATCTGTTTATCTGTCTATCTGTCTATCTGTCTATCTGTCTATCTGTCTATCTGTCTACCTGTCTACCTGTCTATCTGTGGTGCAGTGTCATTCAGTGTATTGTAGTGTAGTGTAATGTAGTGTAGTGTAGTGGGGTGTAGTGGAATGTAGTGTAGTGTAGTGTAATGTAGTGTAGTGTAGTGTAATTTCGTGTAGTGGAGTGTGTTGTGTAGTCGTAGTTGTAGTTGTAGTGTAGTGTAGTGTAGTGTAATGTAGTGAAGTGTAGTGGAAGGTAGTGTAGTGTAATGTAGTGTAGCGTAGTGGAGTGTAGTGTAGTGTAGTGGAGTGTAGTGTAGGGTAATGTAGTGTAGTGTAGTGTGATTTAGTGTAGTGTAATTTAGTGTAGTGGAGTGTAGTTGTGTAGTTGTAGTTGTAGTGTTGTGGAGCGTAGTGTAGTGTAATGTAGTGTAGTGGAGTTTAGTGTAATTTAATGTAGTGTAGTGTAGTGGAGCGTAGTGTAGTGTAACGTAGTGTAGTGAAATTTAATGTAGTGGAGTGTAGTCTAGTTGTGTAGTTGTAGTTGTAGTGTTGTGGAGTGTAGTGTAGTGTAATGTAGTGTAGTATAGTGGAGTGTGGTGTAATGTAACGTAGTGTAGTGTAGTGAAGCGAAGCGGCGAAGCGACATCTGAACCTCCAAAAGTGGTCCGAACCCCTTGTGCTTTGTACATTTTCACTTCGAAATGTGCTTCGCGCCACAACGGCGTGCACTTTTTCGACATCTCAACTTCCACAAGTGGTCCGAGAATGGTGTGCTTTGCACATTTTGACTTCGAAATGTGCTTCGCGCCACAACGGCGTGCACTTTTTTGACATCTCAACTTCCAAAAGTGGTCCCGACCTGGTGTGTTTTGTACATTTTGACTTGGAAATGTGCTTCGCGCCACAACGGCGTGCACTTTTTCGACATCTCAACTTCCAAAAGTGGTCCGAGAATGGTGTGCTTTGTACATTTTGACTTCGAAATGTGCTTCGCGCCACAACGGCGTGCACTTTTTTGACATCTCAACTTCCAAAAGTGGTCCGAACCCCTGGTGTTTTAACATTTTGACTTCGAAATGTGCTTCGCGCCACAACGGCGTGCAACTTTTCATCTCTCATCTCCCCAGGTGTCTCCGCACCCGCCGCTTTAGCGAGCCTACTTTTCAACCCTCCGGAGCCACAAAACCACGAAAAAACACAGTGTTTCGCGACTTTCCTAACGGAAGTTTGACTTCCAAACTTCCTTCGATGAACAAGAAAATTGGGTCATGCAAACAATCCTTGCAGTTTCATGGCTACTTCAAATCTACCGCAATGGAAAAGCCGTTCTTTCTAGATCGTGTTCTGAAATCAAAAACTGTCCTTTTGCAACCAGGTTGGATTGCCTTTTCTGGTTATTTTTGTCAAAACCCTATATTGTACCCATCAGCTAGTTAGTCGATGTTGATGAAATATGGTAGGATTTGACCATATGTGACCCATCCCCATGCCATCCCCGAGACCGGGTCCCATGCTCCTGTGGTCGGAATGGCAGTTCACTACCTCCATGCTCGTCCTAAGACAGGAAACCCAGAATCCCATCTCACCGGGATTCGAACCCCGAATTCTAAACGTTTACGTAGCGAACTGGAAAATCACTATGCTATTAATGGGTAAGTCCACTATAAATGGCCCGTTTCAATAGCTATGTTAGTTTACCCAGAGGGTACCTTTCACCCGGTTTTTCAACAAGCTTCCATACCATTCTATAAATTCTCCCAGGAAATCTCAGGAAATCCCATCCACTTACCTGAACAGTAGGACTAAAAGTTGTTGGAACATCCCAATGTATATCGTGGAATCCCCAAAAACGTGTGTTTGTACTCCCCGATGTCTTTTCAAGGGTCGTACAAGTGTAGAATTCAAGAAAATCATCAACCACCATATTTATCGATGATATCCCCCATATATATATGTATATATATATGTATATGTATACATTCTACCAATAGTTTTAATGGAGAAAAATGAAACATCGGTTCTGTTTGGTGGTCACCATCGCTCCAATGAACATTTCGTCCCTGACAATCACAGGCGATAAAACAGTGATTTTCCATCGTTTTTTGTATGTTTACCAGGCCGGGTCACCAACCCAATCCTACCCTGGGTCCCCCCGCTCCCCGGAGGGCGGTGCGCCCGGTGCTCGTCACCGCTCGGAAACGCTCGAAGACCATCTGACGCCTTGGAAAAGAAGCGTGACATGCCGCCAGGGTCCCCACCGTATTTATATGTGTATATATATATGATATGATATGTATATATGTAATATGTATATATTATAGTATGTATATACAGAAATATGTATATGTACTACATGTATAATATCTTTTGGTGTGCATCATATACATATATATATATATAGAGTTGTAACCTCCGAAAAATAGGATGTAAATTCTACTGTAAATTCTAAATTCTCACTAGAACAAGCCTAGGTGTTGATCACTATGGAAAGAAAAAAAACATGTTGGATACCTATGGCGTGTAAGCATGGCTAAACAATCCCCTGAAAAAGTTGTTTTTAGCAGAAGTGAAATTTTCAAAATTGGAAGGCCAAAAAATCCCACGTCCACGTCGTCAAGTGTCATCAAAACTAAGCCCTGTTGTGCTGCCAGGAATTCAACCAACCATCGTCCCCATCAGATCACGCTGCCATCCCAGCTTCAACTCATCCAACGGCTCTTTGCCCACGATTGCCAGGGTCATGTCCTAGCTATGGCAGCTATGGCACGAGCCACAAGGCGACGAGCCACAAACTCAGGACCAAGATCACAAATTGGTTCTTCCACGGATTGGTTATACATGGTTATACACTCACAAACTGATTGGCTATACACCCATACACCCAGTAACTGATTGGTTATACACCCACAAACTGATTCGTTGTTCCCACCAGAAATGTCCGCAGAATTTCCTCAGATCTCCTCCGAAGTGTAGTTCTCCTTGTAAAATTTCACCACCTGCCAGCGTCCGGAAAAAGTTTGGCGAGAAGTTGGGGTGCCTTGGATTCTATGAAGACACCGGTGGAAAGCTTTCAAGTTGGTACTTACCCCGCCGGAAGTTGACTCACCCAGCTGGCCTCGCTGTGGAGTTTGACGCCTCGTTTCTTTGGCTCCTCTCTCAAACTCCTCAGCTTGAGAGTAAAAGAATGATAGGGAAAAACACAAAATTGATGTCTTTTCTCATCATTTCCCTTATTGAAATTACCCAAATTTGGGGGGTATACTTGTTAAAACACGCCTAAATCCCTGAGAGAAGCCAGCCTTTGTGGCACCGCTCTGTGACAATCACTCAGGATGTTTACCACAGACCTCCAAGAAACGTCAAGAAAAACGGAACTTCTTTCAGGGGGAACAATCACGAAACATAAGAAATTGGGAAATTGGTGGCTGTTCCTCTTGGTTTTGAATTGACTGATCTCTTTTGGGGCCACCAGACTTTGACAGCAAATGCTTTGTTGGTGATTCCAGCTTTGTTGGTTAACCCCGACCATCTCCCTCACCCAATCCCTGAAGAACCCAAACATAACAATACAACATAAGAATGGCAACTGTTTTATACATAGTCATCATAATCATCATCATCATCCAAGTGTTAAGGGGCTTCACATGGCTTAACCATCCTGAAACGGGATAGCTATATCAAAATATGAACGTCAATATCAACAATATAAAATTCACCATCCACAATATGAATGTCAACCCCATCTGGAGCTTTCCAGATATCACATTTTGTTGTACCCCCAAATCATCCCAAAAAAAATAGGATTTTCCATGAAATAGGCCATCAGGCCATCCATTTTGAGGTATCCCCATGGAAACCTCCAGTCTCTGCGCAGAGGTCTCCCGAGTCCCCAGGCTGTGCATTGCCAGAGCCCCAGTGCAGCGGGTGTCGCGGGTTCGCGTCCAGGAGCAAGGCCTGGCCGCTAGGGCCGCTAGGGGATGCCGCAGATGGATGGTCAAAAAATGGAAATTTTCCCATGAAAAATGGAGGGAAAAATGGGATATCATGGTGGATAACTATGGATAACTACAATTAACTATGGTTTATCACTATGGATAACTATGGTTTTTTCCTAAAAATGGAAAAAATGGGGTACCCCCATGACTTAGGAAAATCCACGACATCACAAAAATGGGGATAACTATGGAGAACTGGTAGATTATGCCTAGTAATTCCAATGGATAATGGAATAATGGCTAAAGTAGATAGGATTCCTGAGAGACCAAGTAATTTGGAGCTGCATCGCAGGCATCCGAAGTGGTGGATAGGCCATATATATATGTAATGGGGTATATCCCACATACAGGTAGGTTACAATATGGTCATTGCCTACTTCCTAACTGGGATCCAAAAACCTACGAAATGGTTTTGGGTCAATTTTTTAAGACCCAGAAGGCCTAATTGCCTGCCGTATTCCAACAAATGGAAACAACAGAATGAACAATTAGCTCAATGAAACCAATGTTTCATAGGTTCTTGCTGCAACATTGATCGGTTTGCTAAGCAGTTCAAACTAGCCGCATGATCGGTTTGTCAACGCGCTTTTGGTTTTGTAGTCAAAGCCAGTGGCAAGAAACACTGAGTTGGTGCATACCTATTTTAAATTTGTGTACATAACATATATGTTACAGTGTATTGATTAAGTGATTGAGTGATTGAGTGATTGCGTACTGCATTGAATCGCCGTCTCGCGACTTGAAACCGTACGCACTTTGCGCCATAAAGCCACTACTTTAAATCAGACCGAATGCTCCGGTTCCCAAAAAGGCCCAGAATAGACAACATGGTGGGATGCCTACACGCGCAAACACGCGAAAACTGCCCAAAATCTTGCAGAGGAAAACTGTTGCCGTACCCCATGTCCAATCAAAAAAAAGGATATCAACCCTCGTCTCAGGTGTCTACTTTTGTTGGTGGAATGTCATTTTCTAGTGGCTTCGTTTCAACCCATCCCCAAAAGTAATTAATAGATTGGAAATATGTTACAAGCAGATTCAAAACCAAACCAAAACCAGATCATTGGCTACATCCCCATGATCTCCCAACTATTTCCCCACGGTTTTTCATGGTTCCAGATGCTTCCAGAGGTGATTTTTCGGCAAGGTGCTGCATAGCTTCTCCGGGAATCGGCTTGGATGTTCATGCTATGCTCGCTGTCCACAGCGTTGATCTCACGCTCCGTGGCGCTCTCACTGAAGAGCGGCGTGCGGAAAAATTGACAGAAACGATCCAAGGCGCCTGGCGCGGCGCCTTGGATTCAATGGCTATGGCATGTGATGAAGAATCATATGGCAGGTGATGAAGAATCAAATATGGGGATCTGTGTACATATATGTATATTGATATGTAGACATATTTTATATTATATTTTATATATATATAATTATAATCATATATACATATGCGTATGATATACATGTCCGCTACATTCTGCTACAGTAAGCCCATATTTTTGGTCCATTCCTGGCTGGTGGAGATGTTATGGAGAGGTTACCCTACAGTGTCATCACAGGTGGCCCGCTGTAGGTCCATCCCCGGCATGGGTGGTTTTCCAGCGCGGCATGTTTGATTGCCAGAGGGTACCCTCTGGTAAACGTTTACATAACTATGGAAAATCACAATTTTTGATGGGTAAATCAACTATAAATGGCCATGTTCAATAGCTATGTTAGTTTACCAGAGGGTAACTTACTGAGTCTGAAGATATCAGGAGATTTTTGTCCTGACATCAATCGGAAGAGACTGATAAAAATGGAACAATGATCAGCTGAGTTTCAGGTCCCACAGTGCCTGACAAGTGGGCAGGTGCCACATCAAAGACATAACCTGCGGTTTGCACGGCCAGGTGGAAGCATGGACTGATAGAGGATCATGAAACACAGTGTCGATTCTTGGTTCTCTGATCCTTTTGACTAAAAACAAGAAAAACTAATAATCATTGCTAGAAAAAGTTGGATACCAAAAAACTATGATTGGCTCTCTGATTCTTTTCACCGAAAATATTGTTCACCAACCAACTGTTTCACCAAAAAGAAATGTTTTTTTGGTATTCCAAAGAATTTGGGGACCCCTCAAAGTTGGATGCCAAGAAACAGGTCTTGGAGTCGCTCGTGAAGGCATTGCACTTACCTCCATGGCCTTGGCTGATCGCGGCCGCGGGATCTTTCCCCAGCTGTGGGTCGAATCTCTTCTGCTTTTTCTAAGGTTTGATGTTCAATATATAACCAGTATTTACCACCATTAACCACCATTAACCACCATTAACCAGTATTAACTACCATTAACCACCATTATATAATTTAATGTATGTGAACAGCTCCCAGTGGTGTGAATCTTCCGATCTTTAAAAATGTGGTCGACAACTGCTGGTCTCAAAGTTTGGAACCCATCACTTTCCTCACTAGATTGGCCTATTGGCAAAAATTCCTACAGACTCACCATGCAGACCGGGACGCGCTTGACAAAGCGCTTGTACTCCGCCTCTTCTGGAAAAGCCTCAGCCGTAGGACACCACGGATGGATCAAACTGATCAAACCGAAGATTTTCCATCATTTTATGGAGAGGATGTCCATCTATAACCAGCTTTTTAGATAAGACCAGAGTACCAATGAAAAAAAGATTCACAGCATTTCACAGCCACATAACTTGATACAAAGCCCAAACCCATGGACCATGAAAGTCTTTCCACCCCACCCTGAGTGCACCTCTGTGCCCAAGAACAGCATGTGCTCGCAGAAATGTGCCAAGCCAGGCATGTCCTCCGGGCTGCGAGGGGGACCTCCCTAACAAAAAAAACCTCTCGTGTATAGATTCCCCAAGTATCCTGGGAAAACAAGGACCTTCAATGAGACTTTCACCAAGCCAGGTAGCCCAGGACCATCTGCAACCAGAGTCAGTTGGACCAGCAGGTGCTCCTTGGGTTCATGCATCTTGCCCACGCCCACACAAAGGGCACAGGCTGCCCGGTCACAGTTGGCATCTGAGGCCAATATGACCTGGCTTGACTATGTGGCGTCACACTCCATCGAAATGAGGAAAAATCTACGAACCAAATTATAGATATGATTATAGTGACCAGATGGGGATATAGATGGGATTGTAATCATCAACGAAGATTATTATAGTGACTAAACTAATCAAAAATTCGAGGTGGACAACAAAAGTTACACGTCTAACCACCAAAAGGAACATGACCTGAATGATTGTTCATGCCTCACAAAAGGGCAGGAACGAATTTGCCAGCTTGCCAACTTGCCATCCAATTGTGAAAAGAATTCATCGGAAGCCAAGCTCATGGTTACGTCCTAAGTTCGGGCAGTAGCATCATTTTAACCACTTGGTCGAATCTGCCACAATCAGTTTCATTACTCTGACGCAGCGCCCCTAGTCCAGCTTCCCACCTGCATGCCGTTCTCCAGGCGCACGAATTCGTAGTTCCTCCGATGCGTCTCCGGCGCGCGGATCTCGCGGATCTCGCGGATCTCCGCCTTCGAGCCGCCCTTGGCGCGGTGCGCCACCGCCACAGTGGCCAGGCCGCACGCCAGCCATCGGCCCAGCGGGTCCGCGTCGGGACGTGCAGCTGTGGCCAGGGCCGCACGCCGGGCACGGGGCCATAGCAGGCCCCAGTGGGCCATGGGGCGCATGGGAGACATGGGTTTGAGCATCTGTGAGGAAAAATATGGAAAAAAAATGAAGACTGGCAAGTCTATAGCAAAAAGACCTGCAGCAATCAGGAAAGGATCGTTTCATCTCGTTTGATCTCGTGCATCAAAATCATTCGCAACGAAGGGAGGGCTAGATTGAGGGATGGCTTGTGTGCCCTTGTCCTCTCTCGTGCTCCTACCGTGTTCCTCCCGTGGCCCGACATGGCTCACCCTATCTAGCCAAGCAAACCAGTTTTTTTTGTCGCCGCAGGGTCTCAAATTGTGCCCCAAGTCTCTCAACAAAATCTGGGGTCACCACAACAGATAGACCATCCCCATGGGGGGCGATAATCCAACTGCTGATCACCAAAAACTTATGGTTTGACTCGACAGGTTGACCCCAGGACCTCCGAATTCCTGTCAGATTGACTGACTATTAGAGATCCATTTTTTCGTCAATGGAAATAATGAAGTCCGATCAGATCATGTATCATCATATGTCATAATCTATTATTTTCTTATGTGTGTGTGGTGTAGATTGATATTTTAGAATACATCCATACATCAATTCTGTATATATATATATATAAATATCACGGGTTCTAAAGTCAGACCGAGTCCCTTCCCGGAGGTCCCCACCAAGAGGCAGATGCAGCTGCACCTTTTCACTCCAGATTGGGCTCGGTGATCTTGAGCCAGTCAGTTGATTGGCCCTTGAGCCAATTGAATGGCTTGAGCCATAGTTGCAACAGTCGGAGGACGTCTCAACGACTGTAAAAACTTTAAAAAGACCTTAGTGGGGGTGCAGTGGTATTCTGTGCTGTTTTCCCAACCGCACTCCCCCTTCCTGCTTGCAGGAATCCAGGTTCCCCAGCACCAAAAACAACAATTTCAGGGGTGGCCACGTTTCCTCCGGGAACTCGCCCTTCCCCCAGCCAGAAGGGCGAAGACCCTCGTGTGCCATGGTCCCAGGCTGGTGTTGGTTCCCCCTTCATCCAAGGGTCGCGTGGAGTTCCACTTCGGGTTGACTCCAAAAATTGAAAAACTACAGCCCTAACTTCGTAGGTTTTTTGAATTCCCTCTCTCACCAGCGCCGCACTCGAAGAGCGCCCAACGGTGTTCTTTGGGTCCAGCAGCTGATGAGCTTTTCCCTGTACTGATCTTTTCCACCGGCAGCTAATGATCTTTTCCCTGGGTCTTGATGATCTTTTTCCTCAGCCACCGATGTACTTTTCCCTGCGATCTATTCCTTCTTGGTTCTTCTTTTCCTCTTTCTTTTTCGGTTCCCACTTGCAATAGGATCCGGGCTTCTTTTTCCTTCTGATCGCCTTGAGTTCCCATTGGTTGCGGAGCTATCCCTTTTGAGGGTTACCATGAAGTTGTATTTCACCCATCTTAATCACATTCCCCAAAAATTTCATCCCTCGAACTGCTATCTGATCCCTCGTTTCTGTGGGACCCGACCTTGGTACATCTTCAGCAGCTCGATGTTCTTTTCGCTTGGACCTGGCAAGATCCAAGTTCAACTTGTCCAGGAATGTTCTTCTTCTACAAACACGGTAAGACCGACTCCAACTGGAACCGATCCTTGACCACAGATTCAGTGACGCGATGCGCATCAGCCAGTACTCGCACCAGCCTTCCAATGGCAGTGCTAAGGGCTTCATGCCGGAAATCGGCTAGTTCTGGATGCGTCTCGGCCAGACCAACCACCTTTTTCACCACTGATACGCACCGACCAGCGATGTCTCGGTAGTTGTCCCAGGAGGGAGTCTCCTGGTCTGGTTCTTCCGGATGTTGTTCTTCTCCCAGAGGTTGTTCTTCACGACGGTTGGACCCCGTTGATGGTTCCTCAATTGGAACCCCGGAACCTTGAACCTCCAGAACCTCTCCCAGCTGGGCTTCACAGCGATGATCTTCGTCAGGAAATCTGCCACAAGTTTTACCCCTGGAAGGTGACGGATGATCCAACTACCATCCTTTAACCTCTCCCTTAGGGCTGTTGCTCGCAACCGCAAGTGTCGAGTCCTCCACGGACCGTCAGGATTTTCCAAGATGGCTATTGCAGCCGTGTTGTCTCCGTAAATGATCTTCTGCCCGATTTTCCGTCCTTCCACGACCTCTATGAGAGACGCCAGAGAGTCTCCCATGACCATGGATTCCAAGTAGGACATCAGTTCCCCTTGCTCAACACCACAAAAGCTTGACGGCTGGCTTCCCATTGAACCAACCCTCCACCATAAAAACCTAGGATACCCTGCAGTGATCTTTCGCCCGCAGGGGCAAATGAAATGTCCGAGAACATTTCGACTTGCTGCATCTCCCGGTGAAATGGCAGGTCATCTTCGGGACCACGATCATCACTTGTGCAAACCCCATAGCTGAGATATTGAGTTTGGGTTCCCTTCAGGTAACCAAACACCTGTTGTGCAGTTTTCACCACCCATTTGGGCCGTTTGTTCACCTGTCTTCCCAATTGGCTGACGGCGAAACTGATATCCGGCCTTGTCCTCATGGACAACCACAGCAACTCGCCCACCACCGTTTGAGCTTGTCGTATGTTTTCAAGCGCTGGTCGTTCTTCTTCCGGAAGTTCGGCATCCGCTTTCGTCATCGGAACCGGTCTTGGGTGTTCTACTTGATGTCGATTCAACAGATCCCGAGTGTAGGACTGCTGTCCCACCTTCAACTTCTTGTGATTCCCTTGACCGCTCCATTGGAGCTCGAACCCACAAAATCGAACCCAGCCTTCGTGATCAACTTCTTCAGGAGTGGAGCATGTCCATTCTTCCTTCAGCCTCTTCAAGAAGCTGTGTTTGGCGTGAGGTTCAGCAAGAACCATAAGATCGTCCACATAGACGACCACCAAACCTACTTGTCGATATCCGTCAGGACGTACTTCTTCTCCTGGAGCGTCACCACCTTTACACAGGATTCTCCACAAATTTCCCTCCGGTGTTTGTTCTAGCTTGTAATCCTTCTGCACCTCCCCCGGGCTTGCATCTCCCTGCCATGTGAACCACCGCATTGTTTGGTCGCGGTACACCGCCCAGTGGGCAGGACTGGATTGAAACCCATACAGGGCCTTGTCAACAAGCCAGACTTCATCCGGTTGGGTAATCCCAAAATCAGTCATGATCCTGGGCGGAACCACCGCCACGGTTTTGGCACCTTGTTCCACCGGCCGAGGAGCTAGTAGAAAAGCGGTCTTGATGTCCGTCGTGGCTACATCCCATTGGTGATGAGCTGCCTTTCGCAATGCACACCTTATCAGAACCCCGTCCGCTCCGCTGGCATACAGCAGAGAGGAAGGCATGGGATCCGCTTCCGGTGATGCCAAGTTGCCGCAGATCACAGCGCGACATATTTGTATCTCCCTCCGGACACAGTAGGCGTCCTTCTGTGTATGGAGACGGAATCGCCCCCTTTTTGAACCATCTTTTTGACCGAACCAAGACGTTGGCCCTGAAGGGTAGCATTGACAGTACGGGCACTCCCAGTTTCTCCAACTGTTGCCTCATTCGTTCTTCAGCACAATACCTCATGGCTTGAGGCCAGTCGGTCACCTCACTTCCTGCCACGCGGAGATACAGACGGATTCGCCTTTAAAGCTGATTGACCTCTGATTCCACATGGCCGTTTGAGGCCGGGTCGTCTCCCTCTGTCATGCTCTGTCTTATAAGGCGCTCTGAGCACCATTTTTCAAGCTTTTTTGGCAGCAGCTCTTTAGCCCGATCACTATGCAGACGGTTGATCTTGATGCCCATCGTGTTGAACTTCGCGATGCATTTTCCCAGGGCGACTAGGATTTCACTCACATGTCTTGACCCCAGAAGTTCCACCAGTGTCACGTGCCGTACATTGAACGGCTGCTTAGATTCTTCCACCAACCTTTTGACTTCTTCCGTCATCGGGTCGGGATCTCCTTTTTCTTCCTTTCCACTGTTGTCCTTTTCCCCCGACTCTGGAAGCTGATGATCTTCTCCACCAAGCGGGCAATCCCCTTCTTCGAGACCATCCCCCCACGAGGGTTCCAGAATTTTGGGTTTCCCCTTTTCTGGGGGTTCTTCACATGGCATCACGATGTCCTTCGATTGAGCTTGATCTTGTTGTTCTTTTGGTCGATCTTCATCTTCTCCTCCAGTTTTGGTGATGTAATCCGGGACCAAAGCAGTGGCCACCATTGCATACTTCACCACATCCTTCCCAGAGGATAAATCCCTGACCTTTGGAAAGGGTCCCACGATGTCCAAGCTCATCGCCCATGACGACGTTGTAGCATCGCGTCTCCTCCGATGTGGAGACCTTGCACCCATTTCCAAAACACAAGTCCTACAATCCCTTCTATATGGTCGATGGCCTTGACGAATATGGCTTCCCAGGCTTCCTCTGACGTCATCTTGGCCAAATGTGGCTCTTCACCCGCAGTTTCATCACCTTCCCGTTTGAGATGTCGGTGAAGTGCTTCTCGGATGGCAGCCCTCAATCCCGGTGCCCATACCGCCCAGGTGGACGACAGATGGCAACGGTCTTTAATGTCCTTTGGCAGGGCCTCGGAGTGCTTGGTGCTGCGTTGATCTTCCAAGTCTCTCATGTCCTCGTGGTCGGTTTCCGTCGTGAGTGCCCAAAGCACCCTTGATCAAAGGATACCAAACCCATTCCTTGGTAGCGGAGCAGCTGCATTAACTCCGGCCCTGCCCAAAAGCTTGGACTTTCTTCTTCGCGAGCTTGTGGAACATACGTCAGCGGGTCTTGTGGGCTCTCCAAGAGGAAAGCTGTTCTCACTCGATGACGTTCACGACATTCTTCAGACCTTATGAACAGGCCAACTTGTTTCAGCAGCAGTGCCGCATCTGAATCAGCCAAGTTCTTCTCCCGGTCTGTCAATCGTGGTAGACCATACCGGTCATGGAAACGTCCACGCAATGGTCTTGGTCCCGGGTTGTTTCTGTCTCAATCGGCTGACCGTCCGACAGGGAGGTCCCCCGATGAT